TCTAAATTCGCAATCTAGGGACATTCCATATTTAGTAAGTTTTGAGCTTGTCCCAGAGACTAACTCCTGATACTAAGGGAGGCTTGGGGTGAAAGCCCAAAGCGTGTGTTCCTCAAAGGAGGGGGGGGGGGGGGGCTATGGGGGGTTCTAAATGTATAGTAGGGATAGTGGGTAGGTCGAGTATGGCCGACCAACCTGAGGCATAGTCTAGCTCCCGCTTGCGTGCCTGTCCTTGTTCTGCGTCTGGCTTGGGTCTAAGCCCAAGTTCCATTCCATGCTAGCTGGTGGAGTACCCATGTCCTCGCGTTAGGCCACCGGTATGCCGAAATAGCGCCATACTCCGTTTGGCTCCGTTTTGCGTGCTGGTCCTAGCATTGGGATGCTGGTTGCTCTAGGACTGTTCCAAGTCGCTCCGGGCCCCTGTCCCTTCGCTCCTTGGGCTATATGCTCGAGAGTTGCTCCCTGGTCCGGTTCCATCACTCCTTGGCTCACGCTTGGGAGTTTGGCACCGTTTGTTCGTTTAGTGGCCCAAGGCCCTAAACCTCAGGTTCCTATAGACACGTGGCATGGACACGTGGCATGTGACACGTGGCATCTGTCACGTGGCATAAAGAGGGTTTAGGTTCCGCTTCGTGGTGTTATCCTATGGTAAATCACCATAGGATAAAGGGTCAAAACCACGTGCGCTACAGAAAATCTTACATCATTTACTAATGACTTGCTATTTTAACATTTATATTCTCAATATTGCCTTGATTGCAACCTTCTTTATTTTATGGGGACTAAGGCTGATGATCATTTATGGTTGGTAGTGCCTTTAGTCTTTCTTCCATATTTTCTCTATACCTACTATAACTCTCTTATCCTAGGCTATGTCACAAATCTAACTTTGAGTATCAAAAGTTAACTATAGACTAGTCCTTTCAAATATTCTTTCTTTATTACCGTGACGCTAGGAGGTCAGTATTGCTAGACCCATTATTAGTTCCCACTTGAGGTAGTTGAGAAACTGGTCAATAACCGTGTACTTAAATCAAATAAACATAAAGTAGGAACTTCTATGTATTTCTTGTTGAGTAGACTCAGTTTGGTTTAAGAAACTTTTGTCATTGGCTTGCACTTACTAGTATCAAGAACCCATATGATATTGAGATTCGTCCCTCAATATTGCTAGATGATAGCATATTGGCAAATCGATCCTCCATGAATCCATCTTTTTATAGTAAGATGTAATGACAAACACAAGAAAAATCATTAATGATTAATATGTCCCAACTCAAATTCAACAAGGATTCAATCATTTCAATATCGATCACTAACTCTTCCTCTCGTAAAGTTAGCATAGTTAATAATTAAATCATTTTTTAAGGAAAAGCTAAAGCTCAACCCCTTAAATAACCTTGTCTAGAATATAACTAATTTAACTTACTACTCAACTTATTTGAACGCTAATATAGTTGCTAACTAGTAAAATGCATGAATATTAATAACACAAAGTTACAGCCTAAACATCATCATTATTTGCAAAGAGATTAATGAAACTCAATATTAATCCTATGGAGAGACATCTCATTTCATTCGAATCCCAACATCAACAATGTCAACAACATGGCATTATTTCAATTCTATCAACACCAAAACAAAGTTAGAAGAAAGTAAGAGTGAATCATCACTCAAAACTCTTTAGCAACCAAGCTAGCCAAAGTTGAAAATACCACCATGTCCAATCCAACACTACAAATTAAAAGTAACTAAATGATATTGATAAAGGTGGAATCAATATGCTAACATAAAAAAACTATACAAAATTATGACATGATCCTCCATAACACCATCCAGTAAAGCAAGTCTATCACTGCTAAATCATCATCGAACGAAACAAGTGTCACAGTCCTTGATGAAGTTTATAAACAATCATTAGTCGCAAAGCAACCAACAATCACTTTTCAACTTGCATTCACAAGACCCAAACATTAAACTCATGTCATTGAGTTATATACTTGTTCAACAAAAATATAATACCCCATGTATGAGATAAAGGTTTATGGACAAGCACGAACTAAATGACCACTTGAATCCAACACAACCGCAATAAACTCACCAACACATCTAACTAATAGCTCTAAGCATGCCTTAAAGAGGCTAGCTATGTATAATTAATATTTAGTCGAAATTAAAGTAAAGATCATGAAATGGACTTATGTTCATATACAACTTCCTCATAAACAAAACTATAGTATAGGTACTAACATCTCAACCCTAAATAACTAAGCTAGACATCACCATCCTTAGCCAAGGCACAATGCCACTAAGATTAAATCAAAATCAATGAGATTTATGAAATCTAATGAAATTTAATGAAATGCAATGTGCAACTTGCTACCAAACATAACACTACATAAAAAAAGCACAAAGGTCACCTTTTTAGAAAAGTGTAATAGCTACTTTTTTACACCAATTCCAAACTCTATTCAACTCAATTGCCTTAGCCCTAAAAGTTAGCATCCCTTTTGGGTTGTATCATACAAATTACATACTAAGGTTTAAGTTAACTGAAGTCAATTCCAACCCTTTTACTAGTTTATACTAATTTACTAGAATGCAATAGTTTTTTAGCAAAATAATCAACAAATCAACCATTGGAAAAGCTTAAGAAAATTTGTGGAAAATTTTTCATCCTAGAGAAAGAATGACTCTTTGTCTAAGAATACAAATTTTTAAGACTCAACCAACTTCCTCTTACCTACAACTTCATATAAGTTCATCTCAACACAAATTCTTATGATCCAATAGCATACTTAGCATTGAACATCATGCCCATATTTCCAAATTTAAATCCATCATCAATACCAGTAAAATGCAAAATAAACATCTAATGCTTGATTACAAGACCATATCTTCAAATATCTACATTGCACTAACACTCTTTTTCAACCACCTTCAAGATCTAATGTGAAGCCAAAACACTAGCAAAAAAAATAATATGAAAAATCAAGATTTAAGGAAAATTCTTCATCACTCGAAATAACAATGCCATTTTCACTAACACAAGTACTAGCGATATCAATGCCTCAACTACACACCTTCTCCATCCAACAATTTACTCCAAGTGCTAAAACAGATCAACTAATAAGTTAATTATCAAAAAAATATATATATAATTCAAAAAACAGTTCATAAAAGTTTAAATATAAAAAGAATATACTCATGAATAAAAGAGCACCTCTATTTTCAATTAATTAAGAGTTTTGTTAAGTGTCTTTGAATTTGAATAGTACTAGGCTAGATGACCTCTAAGAAAGTTTAAATTCATAAAAAAAAAAATGTATGTTATATCTGAAATTATATGACTTCCTAAAAATAAATTCCTAACAAATAAATAAATTCTCAGCCAACTCTTAATAAATTCCTATTGTCTTTCCTCTAAGCACAGTATATAGTAGGAAATTTTGGTTCATTTTTGCAAATAATAACAACTATATTGAAATCTCAAATAATTAAAAAAACAATAGAATTCCATAAATTTCATATATTGCTCTACAATGAGCATAAAATGCTATAGGCATTCCAACTTTAAATCCCACAAACTTTAAAATAATTTTAGAATATTCTTATGGTTTGTGTCATTTTACATAGTTATCTCTAAGCTCCCCACCCTTTGCAACAATGCAAAAATGTTTTTATTAATTTAAATTAAAAGGGAGCTATGGTGTTTTTGTTGCTAAATTATGCCTATATAATATAACAAGCAAGTCAATGAATTTAAAAAATTCTAATCTTATAGTCACAAAATTTCAAAGATGATGAATGGTTATGGATGGTCATCTAAGAGGCCATTTACATGGCTAGGTCCTAATGAACACTAGATTCTGGAGAATATCCTTTAAGAATATTTGATTTCATGTGTAGAATATGCATCTTCACTTGGAGAATATTCATGGGGAATATATGTTTTCACACCAAAAATATTCAATTTCAAGGATAAAATATTCTTCCAGAAAATGTTTTTCATACAAAAAATGTTTTAATGCTTAAAACTATATTTAGCCTTCCATGAAAAACTCTACAAGATCTTGCTTGCGAGTGGGATAGAAGGAGCTCCATGTAAGAAGGATCACTCTGGCGCCACTCTTACTTTACAGAAGTGTTCTGTGGGGGGAACACTGCTGCTCGGCATCATAGTTTGTCCGTTCTCGTGTTTTCATGCAGAGGATGTCAGATGTCCCTAATGCTACATGTTACTTTGCATCAAAAACCAATAACAAAAATCTGATATCATACGAGATCCGGCTCGTGATAAAATTGAAAGCCAGAGCCTTGTCCTTGCTCATGTGTGGAAACTTAACGCGAATTCGTCGTCCACATCAAAGTGAGTCGAGAGATTCAGGAGAAGTATTTTATCAAAACCGGGAGATAATCTATAAGAGCTTACGTCTCCCATGGATGGTTATTGCAGACTGCATGCAAAGCCGTGCCGCAAGAAAATCAGCAAAAGATAGTTCAGATGCAAATCCACATCCTTTTAAGCCAAGAGCTCAAAGCGAGGAACAAGAAGTACTCTTCCATGTCCACTTACACTCGCTACTTCATGCCTAGGCAGTAAAAACACACAGAATTAGAGATTGTTTCACAGCCAGCAATTTTCCTCACCAGAGAACACATCCAACCTGTAGATCGGGAGAAAGGCTGTCGAAAATAGCAATGCGCACTTTGTGGATCTCAGACGACAATTTATCGAGAGAACCAACGTTAAGAAAACAAACAAAAACCATCACACCACCTCCCAGTTGTTCAAAGACAAAAGAAAACTCGAGAGATCTCAAGGACATGCTTCAAGAGTTTAGCAGCGACGATGGTCCAGAAAACCTCGTCAAAGCTTAAGTCAGTGGCTCTGGCTTCCACTCTTCCACAGGAAGCTTGCTCAAGGATGCATCCTGGACGTAATCAAGGTTCCAAACTTGTGTGGGTTCGATTCCTGAGTTCCATGGGTTTAGGGCTTTGCTATGCTCTCCGGGGAGAATGTCGTGCAATGGCCTCGTCGCAATGCCGTCGATGACATCGATTCTTGCCAAGCGCGCTGGCTGCTACACATCGATCCGTGGTAAGTGCCTCCTCGCGACAGCGGCCGCGGAATTTCCAGCGCGGAGCAGCAGCGACGTCTCGGTTCCTGGCCAGGGATTTCGCAACCGGCCGCAGCGGGTTCCCTGGGGCAGTGATTTCTGGGAGAGAGGGAATGGAGGCGATAGAGGACGGGAATTTAGTGATAGAGATGCTGGCGGAGCTGTGGAAGAAGGAGGTGTGCCATTCAAGGACCCGAAGAGGACACCCAGGAAGCCGAGGAAGAGGCTCCAGCAGCTCCCACCGTATGGAAATCCGCGAGAATCGGACATTAGATTCTCGAGGAGGGAGAACGAGATTGGGAGAGCGACGAAAATTCTCTCGTCCTTGAATGAAGCTCCTCCAAAGAGTGCTGTTATAGAACGCTCCAGTGATAGCACCGCCGAGAGAGACGAGGGTGGTTTTCCGGACGAGGCTCCAGCGTGTGCCGTGAAGCAAATTCCTGCTTATCCGACCACCATCTATGGCCACCCGATCGAGCACTGGAGAGTCAAAGTTTTGGAGAAGAAGAAGGCCAGAGCGGCAGAGCTAGCGAAGCTGGACGCCGACTTGGATGAGAGCGTTTATCTCAACGAGGAGTGGAAGAGAAAAAGGATACACTGGCTGTGCACCGAGATTCCTCGCCTGGACTCCATGCAAACCGTGAAGATCTTAAACTCGCAGGTGAAGTGGTTACATAACAAGGACATATCCATCGTGTGCCATCGGCTTCTCAGCATCGACCACTTCATTCGAGCTCACAGGGTACGTAGTTTTGCTTCCTTTGTTCCTTCGATCACACCATTTTGATCAGGTTTTCAAGTGGTCGCAGCAACGTCCATGGTTCGTTCTCGACTTTCAGCTCGCCAGCAGGATGTCCGAGCTACTCGGCCAGACGGGAAAAGTCGGAAGAGCTCGCGACTTGTTTGATATCATCATCCAGTACGCTTATGTTCCCAAGGAATCCACCTACAGCACTCTCATCAAGTCTTATTTACAGGATGGCAGATACAAATACGTCGACGAGGCTTGGAAGCTCTACAACCGGATGAGAGAGTTTGGAGGATACGAACCCCCGGCGATTGTCAAGCACTCGCTCTTCAAGTTTTTGACGGAGAGTGGGAAGGCGAGCTTGAGGTGGGCCGACAGAGCTAATGCCGTCTTCAACAGCATCCGGGAGTGTAATCTTCCGTGCACGACAGAGATGTACGAGACTCTAGTGATCATCCACGCCGTGAAGGGAGACGAAGCACGAGTCCAGTTTCTAGTTGACGACATGAAGTCACAGGGTCTGGAGCTCTCTCCGTTGATCTTTGGAGCACTTATCCGGGTGTGCTCCAAGAGTGGCAACTATGTCAAAGCCGAGAAGCTCTTCGAGCAGCTGAAAGAAACGCAGGAAGAGCTCGACTGGCACTACTACATAGCCCTCATGGAAGCTTACGGCAAGGCAGGTCTCCCTGGCAAAGCTATGGACTTGTTCAGGGAAACGGAAAACTCTCCGACTTTTCCAAAGTTTGCTCTCTTCAAGATCATCATCGAGGTGATGGCTAGCAATGACCAAGTAGAAGCTACGGAGGAGCTCCTAGGCAAGCTCCACCCCAGCCTCTACAAGTTCCAAACTTTGCAGTCGGCTTTCAACGCAGTGATGGAGATGTACTCAAGGCTTGGCAAGTTCGACAAGGTGGACTCGACCTACGCGTACATGTCCAAGCATGGCTGCCGTCCAAACAGGGAATCCTACCACTTACAGCTCCAGGCATTCATCGACAGTGGTCGCCTCGACAAGGCCGAAGAGCTTTACAACAATATGATAGAGAGGAAGTGCCTGAGGCCAGACTTCAAGACGCACGGGATAATGCTGGGAGCATACGGCAAAGCAGACCGGAAGGACAAAGTCAAGGAGATCTTCAAGCTGCTGACTGAGCACCGGCAGCCAGTCCCGGAAGAGTTCCAGCCTTACGTGGAGGCGTCGGTGAAGACAACCTGGGTGGAAAAGGCGAAGCTCTACGTGAGACCGAAGCTCACGTCCACGCAGCGAGCGATCCTAGCGGGAGTGCTGCTAGCGGGCACGCGAATGACCGCAGCGTCCTACAACGGTGCGTGCATCCACTTCGAGCAGGACGCGGAGAGCTACAAAGGCCAGGCTCTGATACACAACTTGTACGAGATCTTCACGGACTGGGCAGTGGAGACTCCCAAGGTGGTGGAGGACAGCGGCGGCCAAGGCAGGAAGCTCCACTTCCAGACGACGCCAAACGTGAAGTTCTACTTCTACTACCACCAGTACAGGCCGAACGGGGAGCAAAAGATACCGCGCTTGGTTCACCGGTGGATCCCCGAGCTAACGCTGGCCTACTGGTACATGTATGGCGGTCATAGATCTCTGGACGGCCGATCGATGGTTTTCAACGCGGAAGCTTACGATCACAAGGAGCTGTGCCTGGTGGTGGAAGCCATGTACGAGAGGAGGATCCAGTGCCGGATAATGCGAGACGAGCGTGGCAAGCACTACCTCGAGATTAGCAGCGAGTCGGCGGTGTGGCTGTGGAAGCTCGTCGCCGAGTACGTTCTCCCGGAGCTAATTCCTCTGCTCAAGATCGAGCCCACCTCCGAGCAAGTGCTCGAGCTCCCGGAGCCGACACATCCATTCTCCGGAGAAGAGACTGATAGCGAGAAAGAAGACGATCTTAGCGAGGATCAAAACTTCCTTCCATAGATCTTGGAGGCAAAGAAGAAACTTCAAGGAGACAAAGAACATCTAAACTTCACTGCCCTTCTTGGAGACAAACTAAACTTCACAGCTCTTCCATAGATCTGGGCTCTTGGCGATGGCATTCATATAGCTTGTGAGAGTGGAAGGGAAGTCGGTCATCACAGCGTCCACTCGCAATCCCTGCAAGAAGTAATCAAACTCGCGGTATGGATCCGCCCGGAAGTCTTTGGCCATGAACTGGGCTTCGTTGCGAAAGGTGGCGGGATGGATCATGAGGCCTCTTACGTGCGCCCGGTCCACTATATCCGACGGCGGTGAGAGCCTCCCCGTGGTCTCGTCTATGGGCGCTATGGTGTTCTTGTCCGTCGATATGCCTGCCACGTACGATTTGATGAAATCCAGGTATGCGTCGCTGCTTAGCTCCGAGTATGGCTGGAGTGTGTCTTGGGCGAGGTCCGTGTCTCTGCCAATGTTGAAGATCTTTGGCGACTTGGTCTGGTTTGCAACGCGCAGGATCGAGAGTGGTGCAAAGGATTGGATGAAAATCGGCTGCTGGAGCCACGATTCGGAGAGATACGGTGCGTTGTAGCCATACTTGAGCAGTGTTTCCACGTATTTGTCTTCGAAGAGCTTCCCGTGCGGCCATGTTACCTGAGAGATTAAAGACAGTTTGGGTGATTTTCGCCTTAGAGCTTACATGCTTGTTGATGAAGACTGGGTTTTTTATCTCCGGATCAATGCCCACAACTCTGGGTGCCTCCAATGCAATCGCAATGTACTCCTCGAATGTTGGTATTTGATACATCCCTGAAAGAAGCAAACTTGCTCTATGAGAACACTTCAAAACTACTGGCATCTCTTACCATTGTAAGCTTGATCCCTAAACTCATAGCGCTGGTGGACACGGAGGGACTTGATCTCATCCAAGGTGAAGTCGACTGTTCCAGACGAGAAAGATTTTAACTAGAAGAGACTCAAGAAAGTACCCGCAAAAAAACCAGTGATGTTCTCGCCCTCCACTGGATAGGTTGCTCTTCTACTTGCAAACTCTGGGCGTTGCGCAACATCGGTTATGGCGTCCAGAGTGGTGTCGTGCAAGCAGATGAGGAACCCATCCTTGGTAGCTCCAATGTCCGTTTCAATGATGTCTATGCCTTCTTGTATTGCCCTCTGCAGAGAAACCACTGATAAGAATAGATTTGGCAACCGCGAGAGAAGTGAGAACCTTGAACGCTGGAACAGTTGATTCAGGAAATTCCCCATTGGCTCCACGATGGGCAATGGAGTAGGGGCCGCTGGTCTTGAAAGGAGCTCTGTGGTGAAATCCACCGGGAAGTCCTTGGCTGGAGATCACAAATTCGAAGGCCAGTAGCGCAAACAAACACAATGCCATTGTCAATGAAGCAAGGTTAATTAGTCTTCACAAAGTCGACTCATACATAGCATGAAGATGCTGCTCCATTTGTCGCAATCGTTGCTATTATCGAAATATCATATAAAAGGATCATAGACTTTCAGAGATCTCCAACATCCAGCATTAATTATATAGTATCTTAATTTGCGAACTGTTATTAGGAATAGATGAGCATTTGAGCTAGTTGTAATATTCTGCTACACTGGTCATGTTGGTCAACATAGTCAACGTCACTGTAAAGCCCTAAATTTGAGATTCGAACCTGTGTCTCTTAAAACAGAGTGTGTAGGTCGAACCTAAGTTTTTTGAAAGACCTAAAAATTCTCGCGTCCATGTCTTCACCGGCAGAGTGAGCTCCTCCTCATTCTCTCGATTCATTGCTTGATCCCCTCGCTTGTGCAGGTTCTATCACTCGCTGCCGCCGATTATCAAGTTCTATGGCACAACTTGCTTGCTCCTCACTACCGTGGAGCGATTGGGCCTTGTCAGTGGGATGCTTCTCTACTTCTCGCCAGAGCTCGCATTCAAGAAGCTCCAGGTGAGTCGGATCGCTGTTTCTTGGCTAGATTGGCTTTGTTTGCTCTCGCTTTAGCTATGGAGGGCCGTTACGAATTTCTTCTTCCTCGGGACCTTCTCGATGAACTTCGCGATCCAGCTGATAATGCTGTAGGTGATCGATCGTCCAAGCTTTGTCGTCATTCACACCCTCTTCGTTGTTTCCAGGGCACGCTATGGCGTCCAGCTCGAGAGATCATTCGTTAGCACGGGACAGTTCGTGTGGATGATGGTCGTCTCGGCGCTCACTCTTCTGGTAAGAACTGATCTATTTTCTCGAGTCTCGGGATCGATTTTCTTCTCTTGCAGGGCATCGCCACCGTGTTTCCCAGCCTGAACTTCTGGTTCATGGGATCGGTGCTCGTGTTCATGCTCGTCTACCTCTGGTCACGCGAGTTCCCAAACGCCAGCGTGAGCATGCTCGGCCTTGTCACAATCCAGGTGAAAATCACTCTTTCTTTCTCGTCTTTCTTCTTCACTCACTCCATCCATCGCCTTCCAGGGGTTCTACGTGCCATGGGCAATGCTCTTCATCAACACCATGTTTGGAGGCTCCTTCCTCCACGACCTCCTGGGAATCGTCATGGGCCACCTCTATCACTTCCTCACTGTTCTTTACCCGCGGTCGGGAGGACGGGACTTTCTTCGAGCTCCACGCTTCGTGTAAGACTTTCTCTTTTCCTCGCTCTTGGTTTGATCGCCAGCGCTTTTGGTTTTACTTTCCAGCCACAAGCTTCTGGCCAAGTATGGGATCATCCACAGCGTCCCGCGGCAGCCAGATCGTAGCAGCCGCCCGCAGCCACAGGCAGAGTCGCCTCCATCTGCCCCGCCATCCGCCGCCGAAGGGACGGCATTCCGTGGACGAAGTTACCGCTTGAATCGAGACTAAGAAGCAAGAAAAGAAGAAACCAACTCTTTTTGTTCTAGCCTGACTTGCAAATGGCAAATGGACCTTACAAGAAGTAGCGAAAGCTCCTCACAAATCGAGGACTCTTCTTTTCATCGTCTCTGATATCGTTTCTTAAGTTAGATCTCTCGGAAGCTGATTGAAGAAGCCAAGGCCACAACGTTGGAAAAATAAAGCAAAGATGAAACATACTCTTGTGCTGGGCTGGATGATTTCTTATCGGCGCTGCAGCGGGTCTGTCATAAAATAAAACTACAAAAGGATGATTAGCTCCACAGAAAAGAAGCGGCATGAAGAACCAGCATCACTCTTCTTCCGCGCTTTTCTTCTTCTTTTTCTTCTTCTCCGAGGTTGGCGGCTCTGAGTCCAGTACTACAACGTCTTCGCTCGATTCGCCTTTGTGCTTCTTCTCCTTCTTCTTCTTCTCTTGCTTTGGAGTTTCTTCCACGGCCTCCTGTTCTTCCTGTTCTTGCTTTACCTTTTTCTTCTCCTTCCTGGAGGTCGGAGTTTCTTCCAGTTCGACCTCGACCTCGGCCTCTGCCCTCTTCTTTTTCTTCTTCTTCTTCTCCGTTCCCCCATCGGCTGCGTCTACCATCTCCACATCTGCGCTCTCCACTACAGCCTTCTTCTTCTTGTCTTTCTTCTTCCCGCCGTCCTCCATGGCCACCGCTGCTCCCACCATAGCCATTTCATTGCCAGCAGCGACTACAGGAAGATCCACAGTCTCGATCTTAATCTTCACACCTCCCGCGGCGGCTGCGCTAGACGTACCAACGGCAGGATGGTTCCTCAGCCACTCCTGCGGCGTCTTCTCGTTGGGCTTGCCATGCTTGTCGAGCAGCCCGGACGCGATCATCTGTTTCTTGGCGGAAGCTCTCGGCCCAAGCCCCCACTTCCTGGGATAAGTGTCCCTCTCCATCACCACCCTCTTCACCTTCGCCACCACGCCGTGGTCGCACGTCGCCATGTCCGACGTGCTCATCTGCGCGATGCCCAGAGCGATGGCCTCGCCTTTGGTGGTCATGAGCACCACCTCGGTGCCGACTCCAACCTTGGAGTCAAAGCGGAGCAGCCCCGGGATCATGAGCTTGGCACCGTAGCAAATGGCGTTCACTGCCGAGTCCTTGACGACGATCCGGGGATAGTTCGTGAGGAGAACCTCGAGCGGCATGATCACCCGCCGCAGGTAGCTCTCATCCTTGTAGTTGTCGTAGACCCACTGCGCGTCCAGGACGTCGTGCATGGTGACCAAGTTGTCCTTCTCGCCGAGGATCCCCGACTGGACCCTCCGGAGCTCCTGCATGTGTCCCCCGACCCCGAGGAGCAAGCCGAGATGGACGCACAGCGTCCGGATGTAAGTCCCGGCCTCGCACTCCACCCAGAACACCACCAAGTGCTTGTCCGCATCGAACTCGAGGAGCTTGCTCTGGTAGATGGTCCTCACCCGGAGCTGGCGCTTCACGGCAGAGATGAGCGGTGGCCTCTGGAAGAGCGCGCCGGTGAGAGTCTCCAGCCCCCGCGCAACCTTGGCCACGTCCTCCACCGCCGAGTGGAGCCGCGCGACGCACACGTACTGCTTGCCGGCTCCCTGCTGCGCCTTGACGAGGCGCGTCGCTCGATCCACGCACACGATGAGGCTGCCGGTGACCTTGGGATCCAGCGTCCCGCTGTGGCCGGTCTTGTCCACTCGGAGAATGCGCTTGATCCAGGCCACCACCTCGTGCGAAGAGGGATTGGAGGGCTTGTCGAGATTGATGACACCATACCTCACGTAGTCGAAGAGGGGGCGCTTGAGCGGCGTGAAGCCCGTGGGCAGCGGCGTGTAGTGGCCCGTGCGGACGTTGAGGGCGTCGTAGTTCTTGAGCAGCAGCGGCCACTTGGAGGTGTCGAGCGACGGCACGAACGACTGCGGCTTGATGAGGTAGTCGGTGCCTGCCTGCGCGTCGCCGAGGCTGGCGGCGCCAGTGGCGCCTCCGAGTTCTCCATGGGCCACGGCCACCACTTCCTCGCCCTTGGAGCGCTTGCGCTTCTTCTTCTCCGGCGCCTCCATTTCTTCTCAAAAACCCTAAAGTCGGCACTAGGTTTAGGGTTTAGGGCTTTGATAGCATATTCGTTTGAAAATCTCGTTTTGGGTTGTAGCTCACCAAGGTTATCACTATTGCTCTTACAGTGTATTACTCTATTGCTTGTAGCATTTTGAGAAAACTGCATAATTATAGACATTTATGTTGTTGATTACATTTCTTTTATAACAGTGTTTTAAAATTCAAAAAGTTACTAATATTAAAAGGAATAAAAATTAAAATCATATTAAAAATAGTACCTTAATTTTTAATATATATTAATATAATAATAATTTATTTAACATAAAATTTTAAAAAGAAAAGTAGCAAGGATTAATTTGTGGAAAACAAAATTGTACTTTTAGTTAAAATGTAATATAACAACTATTAGCTAATTTTGTGAACTTAAAATCTCTTTAGTTATAATTTATTTGATTTTCTAGCTAGCTTACTACTATATTAAAATAAAAAAATAATATTTTAACACTTAGATTTTTACTATTTTTAATTTCATTTTAATAAAATTAATTACTAATTTATTATATAAATTTAATTTTTATGCTCTAAAGCATAAACAGTGAAAACTAATTTAAAATATGTATAATTTTTGTATCAATTTCAATATTACTCATTATTCTGTAGTTAAGTTTCCTTGAAAAACTATTTTAAGAATATAATTACATTTTTATTTTTATATATATGAGCTATCAAATATATAAAAATATTTAAGTTAAAAGATGGCTACTAAAGCTGCTTATGGCGAGGTAGATGAAGTTAGTGAGGAGGTTATTAGTAGCATTATAGCTGAATCTTTTTATGATTTATTTTTTAATAAATATTTTAAGTGAACTAGTATATAATTATTATGATTTTAAAATTACTCCAATTTTAAAATTTACATTTCTAAATAATTAATATTTTTTAATTTTTAAATTTCAAAGTTATAAAAAATATTTAGAGGAATTATAAATTTAGCAAAATAATAGCTAATAATGAAGAGATAAAAATAAACATAGCAAAATCGCAAATCATGATGAAGGAACTTTAGACTATAGTTAATCATTACCTTGGTAAAAGAATTTGTACTCACAATTAAGATGGATTAAACTACAATAGTATAAATCTAAACACAATTAATCCCTAAATAATATTTGTATTGTTTAGTTCTTTCTTCTCACTATTAAATGCTATCTTGATGTATAAAAAGTAAATAAAAAATATGCATAATTTAATTCTCCTTACCACCACCATCTTTATTAAATTTTCTTTTTATTTTTTATATTCATATTTGGAAAAACTTAAATAAATTTAAAAGTAATAAAGGAAAGGGTAAATAACAATATTGATTATCCTATAATAGGTATTGCATGTTGTCATTTAAAGAGAATGAAAAATTGAGCTATAACAATTATCTACATAATTGAAGCTGTAATTTTTATCATTAGGCAATCTACATTTTACATCCCCTTATGCAGATAATTATTTTTATAAATTATTTTATAATTTAATTTTACCTGCAATTATAATAGATTAATTCACTTAGAATTTTTATTATAAATCTAAATAACAAAAATCAGATAATGTTCAAAGGTATTTTCTATTTTTTATTAATTTTATTTTTAAATTTATGGTAAATTTAATAAGATTTATATTAGTTATTTCTGTGTTGTTTTATTTATAATTTTTTTAAAAATGATGTGTTATTATACTCGTATTCTATAAAGTAATATAAAGTTTTAAATAATTCTCATTAAAGTAAAATAAAAATAAAAATAGCACAATCTTATAATCAAATTTGTTAGTGTAAGGTAACAATGTCACTCATTAAGTCTCAAGAAATAAAGGATTAGATTTAGATGTATCTTTAAGATACAAAGTTTTGCAAAAACTTTGAATGAATTTACAGTCTTCAGAACATGATTGAGCTTTTGCATGATCTACTTAGAGAAAAATCCAAAACTTTGAATGTATACATTCACAGTCTTCACAAGCATTGTTTACATTGTAGCTATTGATGGTGCTGCGTTGTTGATTTTAAGCCAAGCTGGCCTAAAATTTGCACTCGCTGTCGCCATTGTCGGAAGCACTCGCCTGGCTTCCACAAATGTGTCATCGGCCTTCTCTTGGAAATATGGCATCTTCAAGGCGTTTTGCGCCGAGATCCTCCTCGCTGGATCAATCGCCAGCATCCTCTTGAGCAGCTCCACCGCATTGGGGTCTTTAATTCCGCTTCTCACGTCCTCGGCTTTCCACCACGCCATCTTCTCCAAGATCCTCTCGCGTGCTCGTTCTCGGCGCCTGTCTTGATAGCCCATGCCACAGCCATCGATGTCCAGCTTCTTGGCAAAATCAGCCACAAAATAGTTGAGCGAGTCTCCATCCTCCTCGTCGGGCACGTCAAAGGGATTGCTACCCAGGAGCATCTCCGCGAATATGCACCCGGCGCCCCACACGTCGATTGCGGTGCCAAAGCTGGTGGCACCCTTGAGAAGCTCCGGAGCGTTGAACGTCAGGGTCCCGACCTCGTTCGACCAGGGACGTGTCTGCAGCCTCCTCGCGGTAGTGAAGTCCGCCAGTTTCACCACAAACTTATTCTTCTCTCCATCCCTTTTTACAAGAACGTTGCTCGTCTTGATGTCTTGATGAACGATTCTGTGCGCGTGAATCCACGCCAGGCCCTCCAGGATCTGGCGCATCACGGCCTTGATGTCGTGCTCCCCAAGCTTGCGTGACGAGACCACATCGCGCAAACTCCCGTCCATGAGCTCCATCACCATGAACGTACCCTGGTTGTTGCAGGTCAACCCAAGAAGATTGACAACGTTGTCGTGCGCTACCTCTTCCAGGATCTCCGACTCGTTGATGATGGTATCGTAAAGGTACTCGTGCTCGTACATCTTCTTCATGGCTACTTTGTCTCCAGTCTCTCGGTGGAACCCAACCCTCACCTCTCCGTCCGCTCCAGCGCCTAGCAACCGCGCGTCACTCGCCCACACATAGTCTGCCATCGCTCGAAAAAATGAATGCTTAGGAAAACCTAAAGGATTTGTTTTATAGTAATTTGCAGAAAAGGCCAGCTTCAAGAAAAAGATGGAGAAAAAGGAGCTTAGTTTAATTACAAGTGTAAAAAGAAAGGAAAAAAAATCTTTAAATCTTGGTGGTGATGTCTCGCCCGGGAACGTATGGCAGCATATTCTCCTTGAGCTTCCGTAGGATCATCAAGAGAGCACCACCAACTTGTCTACACACACACAAAAGAGAGAAAAAAAAAAAAGGATCAGAAAACATAGAGAAGAAGCTTTTTTGTTGATCTCAAAGTTCATCGTTGTTGATCGAGAAGAAGAAGATCCGATCACAGCAGAGACGAGCAGGCATTCCCAAAAAGACAAGGCTAATCTTCTTTGAGCATCGAGCCCGACCGTGTAAGTAAGAGATCATAAAGGAACGGAATTAGGGCAAGACCTAGAGTGGCTGGAGAGGCGACTGGTTCATCCGGCAGATCCCAGGTACTGCATAGGCGCCGGAGTAGATCCGGATCAATGCCGGTGGGGCGGCGGCGGGGATTCTAGAGGGGAGGGATGGACAGGAATGGGAGCCCCGTAATATCGAGGCAGAGGAGCAATGAGAGCGCCACTTCATCTCCTGCCATGTCGCCGGCGCATCCGGCGCATCACGTCCGATCGGGCTCCCTGGGAGCGATGCGAAGGCCGAATTACTCCGCCAAGGCGGCGGCTGCGCGCCTCGCTAGCTTGATGCAAGCGTCGCATCCACAGGACGATGACGACGAAGACGACGATCTCCAGTTCGCACAGCAATCGCAATCCTACCGCGGAAAAACCAGCAATTTCTCGACCAGAGCCCAGTCTCCAGGGGTAAGTTCGCCATCCTTTGTTTGTCTTCCTTTCCGTGAGGAAAAACGTTCTTTGCTCGTGAGACACGAAGTTTGGAGATGCTCGGCCTCTCTTCTTTTGCTGTTTGCTGCCATAGCTTCACAGTCTTTGTTTTCACGAGTTTTTGGGATTGGGTCTGGACTGATAGTGAACTTCTTATCAAATACCAGCTAGTGAGGAGTCGGGACGAAAGTGGGAGTGACCATCAACGCTCGGCCTCTGCGGGCAGACCATTGCGTCCTACGCCTTTAGTTCCTCCTTTGGCACCCGCGTCATCTGGTCGAGTGAAGCCACCCTCGTTTTCCACACAGCCACAACGAGTGCCAGAACCTTCCGTGGATGCTGACTTTCGTCGGGATAGAAGGTGGTCGAGTGGTTTTCGTGATTTCTCTTTCTCCGTTTCATATATTGGGGCTCGTGTTTTCGGTTTCTTTCGAACGTGGTGTGATGTTTATCTTCTTGATGCAGGCCTGCTGCGGATCCGGTTCACCATCAAAGGCAAGAGTCCGGAATCTCGAGACGTGAAGCTGCTGTACTTCGTGATGAGGTATATTATGCTCAAACTTGTGAAATTTTCATCAACACTGGCTTGTAGCTTGAAGTACTTGAAGAAGAAAACCAACTTCGTCTTGACAAGGTTAGTTTCTACCTGTTGAATGTCATGTGACTTTTTTCGTTGCAGTTACGCCTTGCTGAAGAAAAACTGCAAGCGTCTGAAGCAAGAGCAAGAGAGCTTGAGAAGCAGGTAAATACTAGCTTTTATCTCTGTGATCTCTTTCATTTTCTCGCTTCCCAGGTTGCAAGTCTTGGAGAAGGTATTTCTCTGGAAGCTCGGCTGCTTCATAGGTACTGGTCTGGCTGCAGTTTTGCCTTCTAACTCCATTGATTGTAATTCAGGAAAGAAGCAGCACTGAAGCAGCGTGAGGTTTGTCTTTGCTTATTTTTCTTCTTGTATGAAGTTTATTTTACACGACAAATGCATCTAGGCTGCTCTAAAAGCTGCAAAACAAAATAGAGATGTGAAAGATGACGAAATTGCAGCGCTTCGTCTAGAAGCAGAGGTATACTACATCGAGTATTGTTTTTATGCCATCTGACTGCCTGGAATTCAGGCCGCCAGAGACGAAGCTGTATCGGCATCGTCAAAAGCACTGGAAGCGGAAGCGGAAGCCAAAGCGTTGAGAACAATGACGCACAGGATGATCTTGACTCAAGAAGAAATGGTTTTTTCTCGAAGGATCTTGGTGCTCTGACCGAACGCGTTTTCCAGGAAGAGGTCGTTCTCAAACGTTGCTGGCTTGCACGGTATTGGGGGCTCGCTGTACGTCACGGTAAGATGTTTATCTTTGCGTACATCTTGATTGATCTCGTGAGTACAGGAGTTCATCCGGAGACAGCTCCTCTGAAATATGAGTACTGGTCCTCCTTCGCTCCTTTACCTCTGGAAGTTGTCTTGGATGTCGGACAAAAAGGCAGCAATGAGTCTACAGGTAAGTCTTTACTTCAACGACATGCTTGAGCTCGATATAAACTTCAGCCAATGGAGACGGAAAGAAGGCGTCGCGCGATGTAAATGATATCACTGGCGAAGGCAACATAGAAAGCATGCTCTCTGTAGAGAAAGGCTTGCGAGAGCTTGCATCATTGAAGGTTAGTGCCAGCCTTTGGGATTGTCAAAGTAATTGTTTGGTTTGTGAAGGTCGAAGATGGAGTTCTCCTTGCAATGTCTGAGCATCGGCGTCCAAGTTTGTTAAGAGTTGGCCACAGCCTGCCAGGTACAAAACTTGCATTTCTCTTCAATTACAAACTTTTAAACTTGCAGATGCAAGAGCCTCGCCAGATGGTCCCAAACTCGTGGAATCCATGGGTAAACTTCTTTGGCATTCGCTTGTTTGCCTCGTCTAATTATCATCTTTGGTTACCAGACTTGAGTAGCGAGGAAGTAGAAGATGTACAATTCAAACAGGTAGAAAACCTCACTACATTTCCAAGTGTTTCACAGCGGCTGTGTTTGTGTGTATCACAGGCGTGGTTGTCTTATTTTTGGCGTCGAGCAAGAGCCAACAAGATCGAATCCGACATCGCTGATGAGCGGCTGCAGTACTGGGCCAGTCGGAATGCAGTTTCTCCGACGTTCCATGACGCTGTTGACGGTATGATCTTTCTTTCGTCATCTCCGGCATCTAACCAATGCCTCAAACTCGCAGTGGAGCGAGGCCTGATGGAGCTCCGAAAGCTGGGCATCGAGGACCAGCTGTGGGAGGCTTCTCGCAAGGAGATCGCGCAGCAGCAGGCACAGAAGGGAAGCCCCTCGAGCTGAAGACTTTCCTCCTCGCGGGTGATTTTTATCTATTCTTATTTGTTTCTCTTACAACCCCAGGGATGTATAGCTTCGATTGTCCAAACATTGGATATAGCACACAGTGAGCTAAAAAAGTTGATCCTCACTCGGGGACACAAATAAGCGCAATCACGTAAGTTTGAACAAGGTCGAAAGATATATTTGTCTTTCAAAGTTATTCTCTCTCGATCGATTTCACTCGCTCAATCCAGAGGATAGCCATCTGGATCTGTAAAGAAGAGAGAAAACTCGATAAGCTTTCTCTCAAGAACACTAAAGAGAAAGTAAAACTTACCGAGGAATGCGGGGCGCTCGATGTAGTTGATCAAGTCGGGCTGGATGACATCAAAGGGATCCTGGCGGCCCTTGATGTTGCTCTGGCGGAGCTTGTAGTAGTAGACCTTGGTGTACTTGGGCGCCTGCCAGAAGCCGTAAGGCTTGACGGGGAGTGACCAGTACTCGAGATTCTTGTCGCTCCGCCGCTTGGCCACCACCATGCGCTCCTTCCACAGCCGCTCCCGCTCGCGCGGGTCCTCCATCATCTGCCGGATCCAGTGCTCCGCGAATTCCTTGATAAAACCCATCCCCCTCGATTTCTTCCCTCCCTATCCCAAGCCCTAACTTTAGTTTGATATCAGATGTAAGAAATATTTTGCTTGGATAACCAAGAGTGATTCTCCCATTAGTTACCTGACTAGTCGTCTTGATGTTCTCTATCTCCCGCGCGGACAACCAAACCTGGTAAACCTCGACTGAGCAGGGCTTGGTCGGAATTGAGAGTGTTCCCGAAAGTGATTGTGGTGAAATGAGAATGGCACCAAGTTTGAATCTGGATCGAGAAGCCCCACTGCTTCTTCAACTGGGTCATACCTGATAGCATCTCGAATGCAGCTAGTCTTCCGGCTGCAGCACAAATGATCGAGATCCACATGGACGCCTCTTCATCTAGAAAGCGTGGGCGAGAGCCGGGTGAAGAGGGAGAGCAGGAGGAGAAAAAGCGACTTAAAGAGGTGAGATTGCTCGTGTGCAATTTCGTCTGCAGGAGCCTTGTCGAGTAGCGATCCAAACCTAAAAGCTGGAAGGAGAAGAGAAGAACGATGATGAACTGCAAAGCTCCCAAGCTTTTCACGAGAAAAGTTCCCTAAGTTGGCGGGCTCACATAGAAAGCAGGACCGCTAAAACCGTGCTCAATGCAAACTGCCCTTCACCCCCGATGCTGCAACTTCCCTCTTCCTCTTCCTCTTCAACCCAAGGCTCCTCGTCCTCTTCTTGCGCCTATAAGAAAACAAAGAGTTTGTAGAAAACACTTGAGGAGAGTTACTTACCTCCTGAGCCTGGTCCTGTGCTAAACGTACCTGGCTCGTTTTAATCTTGGCATACGCAGCTTTGCCATGATCACCGTCCTCGACGAACAAAAAGTTCTGGATGAGCTGCAGGATGTTGAGACACTCGTCGAAGCTCCGGTATGGAGCGCTGAGCTTGTCGACCACTATGCCAAACAGCCAGTTGCCACCGTTGTTGAGCCTCTCCAGGACGATCTTCTTGACAGCGGGCGAGTACGCAGTCGCTAGCTCGATCCAGGGCACTGGAATTTGGAGACGTCGCCGCCAGTTCTTGGGGATCTTCCCCATCTACACAAAAGACACCAGGAAGAAACAATGGAGACTTCCGACGTGAATCCAGAAAAGCTTACCTTCCAGGTACCCGAACGTAGAACATGGCGGGAGCTGATCGAGAAAGTTCCGGCATCCAAGTCGATGATGTAGACGTACCCCATGTCGAGGTCAGGCTGCGGCGGCTCCATGTCCGGCTCTTCATTCGACACTAACACGCCGAGCTCGAGCAAGCGAAACCAGAGCCGCTCGTGGGACTCGATGTTCCGGCACAGGAACGCCCACCGGTTTCTTCCTCCCATTAAATTCTCGGCCTCGTTCCGGATGAAGGCCCGGAACCGGACAGGGTCCTCGAGGATAGCCGCCATCCTCGCTTTCACAGCAGCACTCCTGCTCATAATGTCGAATTGCCCCATATCTTCCAGGTATTCTCGTTCACACCGGGCGTCAGCAAGCATGTAGTCGCGGACTGCGTCGATGATCGCGTCCGAGGTTGATGCTCGCTTCTCTCTGGATCTTGGCACTGTCGAGCACACACACGAGTTAGGTGGAGGGAAGAAAAAAAGATCAAAGCTTGAGCCTTGATCACCAGCGATCACCTGGATGAAGACGGCGTTTTCGAGCAGGCGCCTCCACTCTTTCGGGTCCGGATGATCCGCGAGCAGCGCTACGAGTCGCCCGCCGACGAACTCGAGCTGCCCCCACTTCTTGTAGAGAACGTAGTACGTGCCCTCGTAGCGGAGGGAGATCCAAGCTGGCATCTCCATGGGCGAAACACCCTTAAACCATTTTTGGAAACATTATTTTCGGAAACGTTTCGAGCAGCGACTAAATCTTTCTTTGAACTGCTAACGGACATGATCGGATGACGTTCATTTCTTCTTCGGATCCACCGGAACATGGTGCAGACGCTAGACACCTTCTCTGGATCAGGACAAGAAAGATCTTTGAGCTCTAAGAGTTTATTTTTTCCAGGCCGCAAATATCTATGCTGTCCATCAGTCGCTCTTTTGCCGGTGCTTCTGTGGCGAGGATGCCGCTCTTCCTGCTATACCATGTTTCGTTCATGCTTGCCTTGTCAAAGGGCCATGAGGTGTTATTCTAGGGTTTGTGATAGGGGAAGAGAGCACTTTAGTCCAAAAGGTCAAATGGGGAATTGTTGAATCATGCAGGTTATGATAGGCGCTCGTTTACATCCAGGGCCAATATTTTCATAGGTGGCACCACCTTTTTTTTTTTTTATTGATGGAGAGGAATGCATGCAGGTTTTTTGTGATTGGAGGTCCGAAAAGCGGAAGCGATTATGAGAGGCAAAGTTGTTTAGCTCCCACTAGAAGCTCGTACAAGCAACGCACGCTTAGTGAATGAGGACGCTGGTGCTTGTTTTATGTAGCCGCGATCCAAATGCCAACAGTGTCGACTCGCCAGAGATAAATACGAGATGCGCAGCCAAGCCGCTGCTTGGTTTTGCGTCCACGGATATGTTGTTGCTAGTTGCTGGCGCTGATTATCATCCTCCAGTTTGGGAAGATTAATGACGCTTATGGCGAGTCAGCAATGGTAATGCTTATAGATGGATATTTTCTGTGAAAATAAAAATGGCTGCCTCTTTTTGCGTTCGGCGTGGGATTGTTGTGACTGCCGCACCGGGTACCATTTCTAAGCACTCCCTTTCTGGCATCAAGAGTAGCTACTTGCAATCGCTGCTGAGCCAGGAGATGGGATATTTCGAGCAATGCGTGACGAGTGGGGACGCGATCACAGCCACCTCCACTGACACCCTCCTCATCCACGACGCCATGGGAGAGAAGGTAAGTAAGCTGGATAACCAAAGACTAGCTTCGTCTTGATCTTCTCCATCACTTCCAAGTTATCTGGCGAGGACGAACGAAACGAAAAGTACCTGGTAAGCAGCTGGGAAGGAAAAAGAAAGAACACACATTGCCTGGGAGTACTTGCGTCCATTTGTTAGCTTGTCTCCATCGCCAGCTCCTGGAGCCGCCAATCTCATGACGACGGATGCTATTGAACAGGAGGCTCCATTTCTCCTTCGTCTTGTTCTTGTTCTTCCTTTTCTTCTTCCATTTCTGCGAGTTCTTGTGTCTCATGCTGCTGTTGCTCTCCCTCTCCCACGTCAGGCATTTCTTCATCTTCTTTGTCATCCGCTGGGCTGTTCTTCTGCGACCACAGCTTGATTGTCCTGTCGTGAGCCACTGTAACAACGTACTGGTTGTCTGCGAAAATAAGCAGTCACGTCAATTCCTGATCCCTGAAGCGTACCAATAAAAGAGCAAGGAAAAACAAATACCAGAAGTTACATCAACGCCTGTGAGCTTCCCTTCGTGTCCCGATAGCGTCTTCACGGGCTTGAAATCGCGTCCCGACCATGCCTGCAAGAAGGAACTCACACGTAAGACGTGCAAAAGCAGCTTTGTACTAACCTTGGCCGTGTTGTCAAAAGAAGCTGTCATGAGATAGTATCCATCTTCGCGCTCGTACTTCACCTGGGAAATCAGGGAGGAGTGAGCCGGAATGGTGTAGAGCATTGCCTTCCTCCTCAAGTCCCAGATCTTGCACGTATGATCCTCTCCTCCGGTTGCTAAGTGGTAGCCATTCTTCGAGAAATCCACACCCAGCACCGGCTTCACATGACCCTCCAGAGCCATGATACTCCGTCCGGTACGAAGATCCCACACGCGGGTCAAGGCATCCATGCCGCAGGAAGCCACCAGCGAGCCATCGCACTGGAAAGCGATTCCGTACAGGCCCCGGCTGTGGCCCTCTTGCAGTAGCACCTCCGCTCCGGTGTTCACATCCCAGAGCCTCCAAGTTTTGTCGAAGCTGGTCGTTCCAATGTAGGCTCCCGATGGATGGAACGCGATCCTCGCCAGGCGCGTCAAGTGGCCCTTGAAAGCCATCTTCATGTTTCCTTGAAGGTCCCAGACCATGGCTGTCCGATCCGCAGAAGCTGTCGCTATGTTCTGTCCATCGGGAGAGAAGACAACGTCCGTTAACCTCTCCGTGTGATGGCCTTTGAGGGCTCCCACTTTTTTCACGTCGGGCACGCTCCAGATCTTCGCGACACCAGTCCAGCCACTGCGATACACAAACAAACAAACAAAAGATGAATGACAAAGAACATACTGGAAACTAGCTGTGCTGAAAACAAAAACTTTCACGTACCACGTAGCGAGAAGCGCCGAGTCTGGCGAGAATGCGCATCCCGTCAAGGGCCTGTCGTCGCCAATCTCACTGCAATCCAGCGAGAAGTTGGCGACGGACTTGAGCACCGACTTGATCTCCTGCTCCTCGTCCTCGTCCGGATTCTCCCTCTTCCGCTTCGCTCGAGCAATCCTGTCGGCGGCGCGAGGAACGGAGAAGTGGAGGATCTCCATCCTCGCTCGCAGCAAGTCCGCAGTGCCCTCGGTGTAGAAGGTGCTCTTCTGGACAGCCGAGATCTTGACGGACTCCTCCTTGGCCTCCTGCTTCTGGGGGAGCCGATCACCACCCTCATCGGCCATGAGGTAGCGCAGCCGGTCCCGGCGCTCCATCTCGCGCTCCCCAAACAGCGTCACCGGCTGGCCCATCTGCCGCAGCTTCTCCTTCACGGCGGCATCGCTGGTCGGGACCGCCAGCGCAGCCGCCCGCCGCTGGAGCAAGATCCTCTCCATGTCCTTCTCATGCTTCTCCCGCGCGACCTTGCTCGCCTCGGACACCTCATACTCATCCTTCTTCGGTGCCGCGGCAGCGCCATCCGTGTGGAGCGTCGGGATGTCCGCGAGCGCCACGGTCTTGGCGACCTCCGCGGCCATGGCAGTGGAGATCTATCGACTAGAATGCCGCTCACCTCTCTAGCGCCACCGCCATCCCATTCATTCTTGAAGCTCCAAGCCCTAAACCCTAAAATGTGATTTCTTTATTTGTGGCTGGGGTTCGAGTCCTGGCGTTTCCAAATATCTGGTGGAGTGGATCTTTCTTGGTAACGAGAAATGCAGGGGTTTGGTTATAAAGTCCCACCACCCTAGGCTATGGCTATGCCCACCAGCAAGAGAAAGACAATAACATCAACACCAACCGTATAATCGCTCCTTCAAATCAAATGGACATATGTTTGTCCTTCCCGGTAGAAGATTTTCTATTCGCGAGAGCGAAGTGTCCACCAATTTCGCTAAAGAAAGATGCGTGCCTTGAATGCCAGCCGGACAAATCCGCCCAATCTTCTTGGTTAAACAACAACAAAGAAAAGAACAAGAACGGATATCAAATACATGGTTGCATGCCGGGAAATCCAAATCATACCAGGGATGATTGTCTTAAGGGTAAAAATCCTATGATTCTACCCAGAGCCGTCCTCCAAAATATGCCTTCTTTCCGTGTGTTGCCCACCACATATATTCTGCCCGCCACCCCCCACCACCTTTTGTCAGACCTAATTCTAACCCAGGCATTCTTTGCGCTCAAAGAAAATGGCGTGGGGTGGGACATGACGACGACATGTATATGTGTCTCACACAAAGTTATCAGGACAGAATCTAGGGCTGGGCCAAAAGCCGTTATGGGCCGACGTGGCGCCCATCGCGCCGGCGTGGCGCGACGTGGCTGCCAGGTCGGCGGGTCTGACACGGCCAACGGAAACACCGCGTACGGACGGCGATGTCGCGAGCCAGCCGTACAGTCTCCTCCCGAAAATAAGCTGCTACGCTGCCTCGGGGAGGAAGAAAAAAATAGGGTTCTTTCTATTCGCGAGGTGGGAGCGATCGATCGGGATAGCCGCTGGGGCGCTAATTTGGAATCCGGAGAATTAAAATGGTGGGGGATTCCGGGATTTGGATTCATCCGGCGCGAGCGGACGCGCGGCGCCGTCGCCCTCGGTGGGATCACACGGCGTCAAGGCCGCGGTGGCGGTGACGACGATGCGGGGATCCAGGCCCTTGCTATGGCGGTCGCGCTAGAGCAGCGGCAGTGGTAGGCAAGGAGGGTAAGGGAAGGAGGCGCTTTGACTCGAGCGGCCGGATCGGATTTGGCAGTGCGATGTGTAAGAGGCGGTCACGGGCAGAGATTTCTGGGCTGGGAGGGAGCTTCCAGCATTTTGGGAGGAGCTAGATTGAGCCACCACAGTCGCTTTTGGTCTCTCTCTCTCTCTCTCTCTCTCTCGCTTTCTCTTTCTTGCTCTTCTTCCCTTCTCTGGCGAGGATCCAGGGAGGATAGGATGAGGAAAAGTCCATCGAGATGGGAGGTAGCGCCGTGGAGCCGGCTTCGGATCATCCGCGTGATGCTGGGCGTGGTGGGGCTGTGCCTGATCGCCATGACGCTGGAAGCCCCAAATCTGTTCCAGCCCAGGGCGCAGCTCAAGGCGGTCGGCGCGTCGACGCAGCAGGAGCTCAGGGAAGAGATCCCAGCCAAGCCTCGCCGAGCTCTCATAGATGGAGCTAAAGAAGATCTCTCTTCTACACGCTCCCCGCAACACCATGGATCCTCGAGCTCTGGCCCGTCCTCGAGCAGTAAGAACCATCCCCAGGAAGAACAGGGATTGCCCAAGCCACGTCCAGTGGGAGGAGAGGAGGAACGAAGCTCGCCACCCGCGTCCTCGGCTACCGCGCTGCTCCACGCCGCCCGCGCCGCCCGCGTCGCCGGCGCCAAGATGTGGCAGCTCGTCGAGTCCAACTTCGCCGCCTCGCCGGCGGCGGCAAAGCAGCACAGCAGCAACCTCACCACGCTGGCCTCGTCGCCGCCGCGCAAGAACTCGCAGTGCCCCCAGGTGGTGATCGTCTCCGGCGACGAGCTGCGCGGTACCGCCAACGTCGCGGTCATACCGTGCGGCCTGGCGTCGGGCTCCTCGGTCACGCTCGTCGCGCGGCCTCTCAAAGCCCACCCCGAGAACTCGCCACACATAAGGATGCTGCCCGACGGCCAGAGCGACGTGATGGTGTCGCAGTTCATGGTGGAGCTCCGCGGGCTCAAGCTGGTGAACGGGGAGGACCCGCCGCGAATTCTCCACGTAAATCCGCGGCTCCGGGGCGACTGGAGCGGCAAGCCCGTGATCGAGATGAACACTTGCTACCGCGGGCAGTGGGGCGCCGCGCTCCGCTGCGAGGGATGGCTCTCTCCGGATGAAGAAGCTGGTAAGTCATAGCAAAGCTTTCGCGAAAGGTTGGTTTTTTACGCTGTTCTTCGCAGTGGATGGATTGCCGAGATGCGAGAACTGGCTGAGAGAGGAGGAAGGGAGTAGCAGCAAGGGCAGCAGTAGTAACGCTGCGACGCGAATTCCCGGGAAGAACGCGAACACTTGGCTCAACACTTGGATACCAGAGCCCGAGAAGGGAGGATTGGACTGGCGGTACCCGTTTGCCGAGGAGAGGCTGTTCGTCTTGACGATTCGGGCTGGATGGGAGGGGTACCACGTTAGTGTCGATGGCAGGCACATCACTTCTTTTCCATACCGGACTGTAAGTTCGAGAAAAACGTCTTTTTTCTTGACTGGGAAACTTACAAGCTCCTCTTTTTTGCAGGGATTCATCCTCGAGGAAGCCACTGGTTTTGCCATTGGCGGCGACGTTGAGGTTCGCTCCGTTGTTGCGACGGGCTTACCATCGTCACACTCGGTGGTTTCGTCGGATCTCCCGCTGGAAGAGTCGGAGCAATATAAGGCTCCTCCTCTACCGGGTGGATCCGTCCATCTCTTCATAGGAATCCTCTCGGCCAGCAACCACTTTGCGGAGAGAATGGCCGTCCGGAAGACGTGGATGCAATCGACGTCTATTCGATCATCGCTGGTGATCGCGAGATTTTTCGTCGCACTGGTAAGCAGCTGCTTGTCGTGTCTTATCTGTTGGAAGTTTTGTTTCTGATCCCTGGAGCGACTATGTTGTTGCAGCATTCTGACCTTGAGATCAACTTACAAGTGAGAGAGGAAGCAGAATATTTTGGCGATATGGTGATTTTGCCTTTCATTGATCACTACGATCTCGTTGTTCTCAAGACTGTCGCGATTTGTGAATATGCGGTGAGCTTCTTCGTTGAGTCTATAGGAAAACTCACGTCATCTTTGCTGTGTGGCACAGGTTAGGAACGTATCAGCAAAGAACGTAATGAAAACTGACGATGATACCTTTGTGAGGGTGGAAACGATTGCCAACTTGTTGAAGAACACTAAGAAGGCCCCCGGACTCTACATGGGTAACATCAACCAATTTCACAGACCATTGAGAGAAGGCAAATGGGCTGTAACTTACGAGGTAAATCTTTGTTTCTTCCTCTTTGTCGTTGCTTATCGAGAGAGTTCGCAGGAGTGGCCCGAGGAAGAGTATCCTCCTTACGCTAATGGCCCGGGGTACGTCATCTCGTCGGACATCGCCGAGTTCATCTTACAACAGCAAAACAACCACACACTGAGAGTAAGGAAACTTTGATTTCGTAGTACCGAGGAGATTGCTTACTTTATATATGCTCTTCTCCTCTTTCAGCTGTTCAAGATGGAAGACGTGAGCATGGGAATGTGGGTCGTCCAATTCAATCTTGCACAGGCGGTTCATTACGTCCACAATCTCAAGTTTTGTCAATGGGGTTGCGTCGAAGATTACTACACGGCACATTATCAATCGCCGCGCCAGATGTTGTGTATGTGGGACAAGCTGCAAAAAGGCGATGCTCAGTGCTGTAACATGAGATAACCTTGGAAGCATTCAACCGTAGAGAACGCACACAGAGCTCTTAGAGGCATATCTTTCTCGTAGAGGGACCGTTTTAGAGGAGATAATTTTGCAAGAGGGAAAGAATAATATACTGTCAATACAGAAAAGTTTTACAGACATACCGAGCGAGGTCCTCGCCGCTCAAATCTACGAGAAACCTGGAAGTCATAATGTAGAGATATGAATGCTCAGCTTTAGAAATGGGAAGACTTACTCCTTTCCAGTCTCGATTTAGACGAAGATGGATGAATCAAAGCTCTAGTCACGAGCGTTCGATATCACCATCCGGAGAAGTCTTTAAATGCAACTCCGCCAGAGTCAGCAGTGATCTTTTTCCTTGGCAGCTCTTCGCTGTCAGCATGTAGAGACGAAGCTAGCTTCACGCTTGATTTAAGGTATTTGGCAACTCCGCCGCCAGTCGATACAGGTGGATTACTGTACCATGATCCGACCTTGTCCTGGGAAAACAGTGCTTCCTCATGAGCTCAAATACATTTAGAGAATAAAAAAGTGTGGGACTCACGTTCTCCGTCTCTGTTTCTTCGGCTTTGTGTTTTTGTTCTTCTGGTTCCTCTGGTTCTGTGTACGGGTTCACGTAAACCGAAGCCTTCAGGATTTTGATTTCTTCCTGCATGAGTAAAGTATAAGGCAGAGACACGGGAAAGGACAAGAGCTTACCAAAGGACGATCCTCATCGTCTACAGGAACTTTATCCATAATAGACAAAGCTTCGATGCCTCCCACCACGTTGCCAAACACCGTGTGCTTGCGATTCAAATGTGGTGCCGACTTGTAGAGAATAAAAAACTGCGAACCGTTACTGTGAGGACCACTGTTGGCCATGCTTAGTATGCCTCTGCCGGAATGTTGCAGCTTGGAGTGAAACTCATCTTTGAAAGGCTTTCCCCATATAGACTTCCCTCCGTGTCCCGTGCCTGTGGGATCGCCTCCTTGAACCATGAAATTCCTGAGAGAATAGAAACGTCAAGATGGAATCTCCAAAATCTAGGACAAACCTGATGTTTCGATGAAATATGACACCATCGTAGTAGCCGCGCTCGCAAAGGGTCAGGAAGTTCTCGCACGTCCGTGGTGCCATGTCGCAGTGCAGCTCGATGTTAAGCTCGCCATGCGTGGTTTGAAGCTTGGCGTATCCTTTCTTTTTCGGATTTTTTTCCGCTTTCACAAACTCCTCTTCGTTCGTCGTCACTGGAGCGTACGTTGTTGAAGTTAATGATCGAGAAGCAGCCCCCGACGAATACCGGCTCTTCACCAGCTGCGTGTTAACGGGCACACGCTCGCCGGCGACATGAGCAGCAACACGAGCAGCGGACTTCTCTGCACTCAGCGCTTTGGCGGAGGCGTGAGGTTTCCCGTGTAGAGCAGCAGACGCTTTGTCAACAATGCTCATTGCTGGAGCAGGAGTTGTGTCCTCAGGAATCTCTTTAGCTGATTTCACAGCCGCAAGAGCGGCAGCACGCTGTGTCTGAGCTTTACCACCACCACCACCTTCGTCTGCCACTTGTTTCGCTTTCTCGGTTCCCAGATCTCGCAGCATACGCTTGGTATCTTCGGACATGTTGATGTAGTACTCCGGGTCTTCTTTCATCTTCCTCATCTCTACGACACAAGATATTGCAACGAACTGAAAAGACACAGAAACACGCATACCTTCGCTTTCGACAATAATTTCCTTTTGAACATGATCGAACTCTGACAGAACTTTTGTCTCGAGCTGGTTAGGATCCTTTCAGTCATAACAGAATGTCTTGTCAGATTTAAGATGACGCAAACAATTATTTACCTGAATGGTGATTATATCATTCCTGCTAAAGGGTTCATCAGTTAGAAGTTCTTTCCAGTTTTTGGCCTTCAAATTGAGCTCCTTGATTGCCTACAGAACTACAAATTGAAACAATAGATTACTTCTATAGCTGATTGCAAACCTCGTACGAGAAGACGTTCCCAGTCGTCTTAATCGCAACAATGTGTGTGAATTCTGTGAAGACTTTGTGAAGGACAGGACAGTGATACTCTCCTGCACACAAGAAACTAGAGTCAAAAGGCAACGCTCAAAACCAATCAAAGAGCAGCATGACTCGCTCACCATCTGCGTTTTTGTGAAACTCTAGCTTGATCAAATCCTTCAAGCTGAGAGGAGTGCCAGTGACAGGATTCTTCTTATGCTTCTGCACATAAGGCACGATATGCCTGGAAAAAAGTCAGGAAAAACGAAGAAAAATCAGCTTACATGAGCTCGAAGACGTGCCCCTCTTTCGTACACATTGGATCGGAGAATGGCGTGAAAGTAAGCCTAGAACACCACATTTTCCCAGGTCCTGCTAGAAATCATGAAATCGAAAAACTCACGCGCAGCAGTAGTATGGAAGGCGCTTGAACGGAAGGCGCACGTCCCTGTCCTTGGCGCCTCCCCATTCCGTCGCCCATTCCGTGCGTGTGATGAAGAGCCGATCCTTGCTGTGCTGCTTCTTGCCCATTCTCAAAACCCTATCCTGGCGGGAGAACGAAGAACCCTAAAATTGAGAGAGAGCTCAAGATTGAGATATTCTTTCGATTCTAATCGGACGGTGTACATTCGAACTAACGGAAGATGCCGATCCAACGGCGCGGACTTCACCTTGGGCCGGACAAGTAGCTCGCCGAGAGGAGATCCTCACTGTTAAACTCGCTGCCGAGCGAGTACCCATCTCGCTCGCTCACAGCGTCGGCCATTCGAGCGTGAAGCCTCACCGCCAATTGACTCGACAGTGGCGGATCCGGCACTGGAACGTTTCCCTCGAGCATCTGGACGACCTTGCCGATCGAGGGCCGCAAATGCATCTCCTCCTGGATGCACCACAGCGCGATCTTCACGGCCTTGACCACCTGTTCTTCGTTTGAGTGGCCTTTGAGCCTGGCGTCCAGCAACTCCACCAAGGCTCCCACCTCGGCCTGCTTGAAAGCGTAGGCCGGGATGTACCACTTGTCCGACGTCTCGTTGGGATCAAAGTTCTTGCGGCCGCTCACGATCTCCAGCAGCACCATGCCGAAGCTGTAGACGTCGCTCTTCTCGGAGATGGCGGTGTTGAGAAGCCACTCGGGCGCGAGGTAGCCCCGAGTTCCTCGCATGGTCGTGAAGACGTGGCTTTGCTCCCGGTTCATGAGCTTGGCCAGCCCAAAGTCGGACACTTTGGCCGTGAAGTGCTCGTCCAGGAGGATGTTCTCCGGCTTGATGTCGCAATGGATGATCCTCTCGCGGCAGTCCTCGTGCAAGTAAACCAGCCCTCTCGCGGTTCCCAGCGCGATGTTGTATCTCGTGTCCCAGTCCAGCACGACCGGCGGCTGTTGATTCACGGGGCTGTCGCTCAGCAACTGGCTGCTGCTTTCGTTGAAGAGAGACTTATCCAGCGAGCCGCGAGCTAAGAACTCATACACCAGGAGCCTGTGTGTTCCCTCGGAGCAAAATCCACGGAGCCTGACGAGGTTCACATGATGAATGCTGCCGATAGTCGCGACTTCCGCTCGAAACTCTTTCTTTCCCTGTCCGATGCTCTCCAGTTGCTTCACCGCCACCTTGCTCTTGTCCGGGAGAGTGCCTTCGTAGACAGAACCGAATCCACCGCCGCCAAGTTTCTTGCTAAATCCATTAGTCGCAGTTTGCAGCTCCTTGTACGTGAACCGCGCTGGAAGTCCGGGTATGGCTTCCAAGAAGCCATCCTCCTCGTCTGGATCGGCTCTTGCGGCTCTCAGCCTCCGCTTATACCACCACACGAACCCACCGATGAGGACGAGGATCAAGCCCAGGCTGCAGCCGACGATCACGTAGATCAGAATGCTCTTCTGCCCATCGTTGCCTTGTTTCTTGGGAGCTTTTATAAACGTCTGGAAGCCACCGTTTGTGCTGTCGAAGCTCCCGAGCTTCACCGTGTTGGACAAGTAGCACGACCCCGACGTCGTGTTGAAAAACCCGGTCGTGCACGAACAGTTCTCCGTGCAAAGTCGCTTGCAATCCTGGAGCGTGACCGCGGATGCTGGTGTAGCAAACTGGTTTGCAAAGTAAAACAAGTTCGTATCAAGGTCTTGAAACTGAAAGTCTTGCGGGGATTTGCAGAGGTCCAAAGCCGCCACTTTGCATCCCTGCGTCGGATTACTGGGATTTATCAGTGGAAGCGAGGCCGGACAGTTGCATTGCCCGTTGGAAGAGCACACTCCATACGGCCCGCAAGGACTTGGCAGCAAGCAGTTGTCCAAGAAAACGGAAGCATCGGGAAGTTGGCCACTCGACGTAAACGCCCTCGACTTTAGATTTCCATCGGAGCCGAGAACGAGCAACACCATGGTGCCGGAGCTGTTCGTCTGGCTCGGCAACGGTAGCGTGGCGACGAGTGTGGAGCTACCGTCGTAGAGACCGAGCTGCCCAGGAGAAACGCTCGCAAACTCGGGGTCCGTCTGGAAGTTTAAGATGGATCGCACGTCCGTGGCCAGCCTCCAGTATGGGACGAGAGCTCCTCCTCCCATATCCATCTCCAGCTCCAATGTGTGGTCACCCAAGCTCAAACTATACGGGCCCTGGGAGAAGTCCGTCGTCGACTTCTTGCTCGTGAGCTTCATCCCGCGCTGGAGCTTCTGCCCGACCACAATCACGTCGGTCGGATGCGCAAAGCTCTCCCACAGCGTCCTGTTCCTGCTGTCCTGGACGACCAAGTTGCCGCTATCGAGCAGCCGGAGAGTCTGCGCGTCGCTTCCATTCGTGCCGGTGCTCCAGACCGGCAAGCCGCGCGGCCCAAAGAGGATGACGTTGCCATCGTCCTGGAAGATGAGATTATCGGCCTGGCTCACGGGGACGTTCCTGTTGGCAGTCCACACGATCTGGTTGATCGCCGCGCCCAGCACCACCGAGAGGTAGTACTGATTGCGACTCGAGTAGAAGAATGTGAGGATGAAATTCCCACTCGCGGATTGCATGAACTGGCCCTGGTTGTCCACCCAGTGCATATCCGACGCGCTGAATGGCTTGGAGACATGGTCGCTGAAGAGCGAGTTCGCCGATCCCAGGCCAAGAGCACACATTACCAATCCTACCGCAAAAATCGCGCCCTCCAGCATCCTTTTCTCGCTCGATTCCTCCCAGATCTGCTTTCCCTGACCTGATCTACGCCACGAATCGCATCCTAGCGGCCCCCGTGCCCACCCCCTGGACCGATGATCCACCGGCGATTCAACGTGGATATTTCGACCCCGAGAATGCGGGCGCCGCCTCGCCGCACTGGCGCTACCTCGCTATCTCCTCCAGGGGATCAAAATCTCCACACAACTCACCACCGCCATCACGCCAAGCTCGAGCGATTGAATGAAAGCCCCCGCATTGGAGCCAGCCGTTGATGTCAGTCAAGGGGTCCGTGCAATCCCGACCGTTGGATCGCTGGCAAACTTTCTCAGATCATCGGTTGTCTTCCTGGCAACATCATAATGTCCAGACGACAAAGCTTTGCGAGCATATTCCCCGGAATCTTCTCTCCCCTATTTAACAAAGTCGCCGCGTCTTTGACAATGCCGCAAAAACTCCATAGCCGGCGTGACTGTCCTACCAACCGAAACGACTGATCCTTCCTTGGTTGGAGCCGGTCAGTCGAGAAGAAAAAAAAAGAAGTCTTTCTTCTCTTCTCATCGACGCTTTGACGGCGTCGGGAGCGATCGATCGGATGTGATAGAAGCAGTGATGCAATGCTGAGCTTCACTCCAGACACCTGTTTGATCGGGTGTGGGATCTCAACCTGTGGAAATTCGGGAAGAAAACAAACTTGTCCCTGTGCCTGTTAAAATCGATCCAGCTCTCGCTGTTAAGCTACAGTCGAAGAAAAGGAAGGCTGGTACCTCTTTCCATGAATTCACGAAGAATGGGAGAGGGTGGCTCCACGGTAGTAATACTTTCGCATCCAAAATCTCTGAGAAGTCTCACTATGACCAGAAGAAGAAAAAAAGGAAAACTGAAGGTGTGCTCACCGACCTGGATCCTAATCTCTTCCCCATTTATTGATCACGCGTGACTTCGCGCTTTGAGGCTCACTGGTCACGGGAGCTAGAGGAGGAGTAGTAGCACCACTTTGTTGTTGCTTTCGCTTCGTCGCCCTTCGAAGCAGCAGCGGTAGATTCAACACAAATGCGACGCTTTTCTTTCCCCCCATCAGCATGTATTTGGGAAGATTAAGCAAAAGAACCAAGGACTTCTTCCCGTTCGTGAGGAGGAAAAACTGCAAAGAAAAGAGAAGAGTGGACATCAGTTAGTTCATGCATGGATGGACGAACGAAACACGAACTTACGATTCCAATCAACCCCGTGAAAGCGAAGACAATTTGCTTGGCTTCTTCCCAGGAGCCCTCGTTCGCGGGGTCACCTCCGCCACCACCACCGCCGCCTCCGCCGCCTCCACCACCGCCGAATCCCCCCCAACGTCCTTTTCCTCCGCCAGAGCCTCGAGAAGTAGCCTCTCTCCTCCGGATTTCCTCGTCCCATTTACTGAACGCCTCCTTCTTCCCACCTAAAGCCTGTTCTAGAGCCTTTCGAGCGGCCTCTTCCTGGAGCACAGCGAGTGTGTCACGCACGGGAGATCTATCAGTCCGCATTTACCTTGGAACTCCGGCCGCCGATGCAAACAATCCGCGAATCGCCTACTCTGCAGCGCCGTGGCGCTGCCAAGGCGAGATCCACCGCCGCGGGAGAATGCAACGCCATCGCCATCGCCATTTCTGGCCCTAGATACAGAGTCCCCCCTAGCCCTAATTCTATAGTGGCCGACCAAAATGATTTTGAATAAGATGTTTATAATTTATATAATCTTTTTTAAACACAAAAAAGTTTTGTTTATAAGTTACATTCTAGTTTCAATATTAGAAGTATATATGTGAAATTATTTATAATTATTTTATATCATTTTCCATCTAAATCAACTTTGTAAGCATTTAATTGTTGCATGATCTCTGTATGAAATCAAATTGCATTTCACTCGTTCTCATTTATCCATTCAAAATAATATTTCATCTTCTTTAAAGAATGGTTATTTATTCATAATTTATTACATGATGGATTATTAAGATAAAAATTAATTTTTCATTTTGATTATTTCCAACATGACTGATAAATTGAGTTGATGATGGCTATGGAACCAAAAACTTAATATATTATATTGTAGATATTCTATTATAGTTTATACTGAGATTCACATTATTTATATTTTATGATCATAGCTTGAAATCATATTGTAAATCTAATTTGAAAATTTTGTATTTCAAAGGCTTAAAAGTGTTATTTTAAACTATCCAATGCAACTTGAAAAGTGTATATATGTAACATTTATTCGTAAATTATTTATATGGTCTTGCAATGTTTACCATGAAACATGAAAACAAAAATGCCCCTTTGTTGCAATAAATAATCTCAGAATTATATTCTATCATTTAATTAAAATTTAATCAAATAAATACCAGTGATTTAATTTAATTAGTAAACATATAGATATTGACTATAGAGCACTATAGTATGATGGGATGATTGCTTGCATAATGTCCTTCAATTAACAATTGAATATGATGAATCTACCTGGATATTCTAGTATTTATATTCATTTAGCTTAATCTTGTGTTTATAACATAATCAAAAGTCCTATTTAAAGATGTAAAAGGACTTTTTGTCTTTTTTTTAATACACGTAAATCCATAATATCTAAAAAATGCTAGCTTTTAGTTTTGCCGTAGCAGCGCAAACATTGTTGGATGGAACTCTCTGTGCTCTGTTTTTGACAGCCAGGACTGGCCTGTGAGCAAACAAGACTTCCTCACATGCAAGATGAGCCGGCCCATCCTTTGGAACCGCAACCCAAGTCTCCCTGACGCTCTCGACCCGCCCCGCTGCCATGTCCACCACTGTGAAGTGCCTCCGCTCGTCCTCGCAGCGCGGCACAACGGCTCCATTTACGTAGACCGTCCCCGTCTTGGCAGCACTTTTGGCATCACACAAACACATTTTGCGTTGCTTGCCACGATTGTAACCAAGAAGTTGCCTGTGCATGTGTCCAAACACCACTAGCGCCACCCTGGATGCATCCTGCTCCCGGACCATATCTAGAGCCCGAGCAAAGTCCGGATCCCCGTGATCACCTCCACCGCCTTTGTCAAAATCCTTGCCGCAAATGTCACCAGGCTGAGAGCCCAGGCCCGCGGGCCCGTTATGGCCCAGGAACACAAGCGAGTGGCCCTCGGGCGCGGACAGGGCCAGGTGGGCGATTCTTGTGGCGCTCTGCTCCATGTTGTCCACGCCGTAGGTGCTGGACAGGAATTCCGAGTTGTAAAACCTGTTGCCGCCGGTTGCAAAGGGCCTCACTCCAATTACGCTCAGCTTCAAGTCTGGATAGTCTTTGCGCCTGTAGCCGACGTGATCGTCGCCCAGGGCTTTGAGCATCTGATCCAACCTCTTGGTGGCGCTGCTGCACTTCTTGGGCGTCGGCTTGTGTGCAGCGCTGTAGCAGCAGTCGTGGTTGCCTAGGATTGCCGCCTTGGGCATTCCAAGCTTGCTGATCTCTTGCACGATCTGGACGTTCTCGTCGCCGAAGTCGCCCACAAACAGCACCAGATCCGGCTTGAGAAGCTCCAAGGCTTGGGCATCCAGCTTTGAGTCCCACGCGCCATGGACGTCTCCCACAATTGCAATTCTGCTCTTGCCCATATACCTTAGCTTCCTGTGCGAAAACCCTACCTTTTGCAGGCGCGGATTTATATGGTGTTTAGGGTGTGCTAAAAAATAAAAAGGCATTCGGTTGCGGTCCTTCGTCCAGCCGGGGGTAACCAATGTTAACTGATGTCAGCGCTAACTCACATTTCTGAAAAGTTGGTGTGTGCTGGTATTCTTTCCTGCTTAGCATTTCCATGCCTGTTCTTGTCTGCTCGCATTCACTGACTTTCGTCTTGACGAGCTCTATTTGATGCAGCTTTCTTTTCACTGCATTTGCATAGGGGAAAGATGTCTAGACTGGCATCTTACATGCGGGACTGCAACGAAGTTATGAGAACGTAATGCATCAGCATAAGATCAAAGAACTTAAATCTAGTGACCAGGATTTTGGAACGATTGCTACAGAAGAATTTGGTGCACCGTGATCGTCCATATCCATCCACTGGTCAATCCCAGTTACCTCGAAGATGTGGCCGCAGTCGAGAAGCTGGATGAATCTATTGGAGCTCCCGCTCTCCCCCAAAGTCATACATCGAAAGTATCCGGGTGGCAAATGCGTTAGGCACTTGGGCAAGGCTCTCCACACAGTCCGATGCAGGGATGCTCACAAACGAGCAGCTTCGTGCTGTCACAGCGTGGCCTCTCGCAGATCTCGAAGCACAAAAACTTGCAGCTGAAATGCTCGCAGTTCCAGGAGCAAGGCTCGAGGCACTTCTTGCATGGTGCTCCACAGACGTCTGTGCATCTGCTGTGAAAGTAGAGTTTCTCACAAGGCTGTGAGCAAGGTGGACATGAAGAAGCACAGCTCTTGGCGGTGCAGTAGTGCCCCTGTGAGAAAAAGATTTTACTTACCACTCGTTCACTCGCTACTGCAACTTGTTCACTTCTAGTACACAGCAAAAAATTTTTCAAGCGTCTCCCATTATGACAACCTAAGCTGGCTGATTTGTGAAGTTTAGGGTTATCTCAATAAACAGGAAGTGAAAATCTAAGGAATATTTCACTTTCCAAAGTGTGGAAACAATCAGCTTGGATTTTCCCATGGTGTTATTGGCTAGAGTCGTCTCGTAATCGCATTCAATCTTATTTTTTGCCTTGTTCTTCCGTTGGCTCCTAATACAATGTGAGACACAGAAGTTGCTAATTTGGCTTCGCTCCAGAACCCAAACAGATAAGCTGGGCAGCACTGGACAAACTTATCAAGCAAACTTTGATGGTTCGCGTCACCTCACTTGGAAAACCCCGGAAAACCCTTTGTGACATTTGTAATTAATCTGACTTTAAAGCACTTAAATTGTTCCAACAAGAAGACGAGCAGTGGATCCGCAACACTTCAACGCCATAGTTCCTCTCCCTAGCAACTAGTCCTCTCAAACGCACCTAATGTAAACTTCAACGGGTTTGATATAATCTCCAGCTTCACATCCCACAGTGGCCAAGAGAGGGGTTCTTCAGATGTGGAGCTCTCATTTTGAGCCTCGTCCGGTCACCGATATATACAACCCGTCGCTACATTGGGAAGATCCAAGGATGTGTGATGACGATACTGACGCGACAAAGAGAATCCAAATTGCATTCTTGCATCCATCAGTTTCATGCTTCAAAATGGCCACCGCCCATCAAAACTATAGGTAAATAGATATTCTGTTTCAACACTCTCAGGCTTGACGATGAGAAGGCATACAAATACGCCAAGAGGTCTGTTGTAAGTAATTTGAAGAAGATCCTAGGATACGCTTAAATGTTCCTTGTACAAGATGAATAGACACCTTACCCTCTAAATACCGTAGGGCTCTCATATCTCAGAGTCCTTCACCGGAGGCAAATGCCCTGCCTGGGCATTTACTTTAGCAAATACAAGCTCTGGGCATATGCTGTGCCAAGTTTGCTTGACAAGAGAAAGATTGAGCTCGTTTAAATATCACTGAGAGTTACTATCGAGTTACTATAGACTTGGTCACTTCTACACTGGAGGATTTTGAGATTCCAAGAATCCCTCCAAATGAAAACCCCCTAGGGTTTAAGTAAAAGTCCATGACCAGCTCCGTGGTCTCGGTCTCCTCTCGCTACTGCCACTTCCCTGGATCCTCCACTGCGAGCAAGAAAGATAAGGTAGCATCCTCTCTCTCTCCCTCGATTTCCAGGAGCAAGCTAGAATGCAAGCACCCAGATCCTCGTCCCGGCCACCAGCAGCGCATTCTTGTATCTAGGAGGGCTTCCAGATCCTCCAAAGCCAAGGCCAGCGAGGAAGAAGAGGACGACGATGGCGATCCAGACGCAGCGGCATCCACCAGTGGCAAATCCGAGAAGGAGCGGGCGCGCGAGGAGCTGAAGTGGCTGTGGGGGAGAGGATGGGCGCCATGGGAGGAGGTCCACCCACCGGAGAATCACTTCGCGCTCAAGAGCTTGGGCGATGCGTCGGTGGAGAATCCGCGGCTGCCGGAGGGCGTGATCGAGCTGCTGGACAAGAAGCCCAAGAGGGAGAAGAAGGCCCCCGAGGTGAGAGAGGTGGAGGAGGAGCTGGATTTCCACAGCGTGGCGTTTGCGCTGATTCCTCCCAGGGATTGGCCGCCGCCGGGGTGGGAAGTGGATCAAAAGGAGCTGGAGTTCATCCGCGAGACGCACACCATGTATGAGAATGTGGTGGTGGAAAAGAAGGATTTGGAGGGCGCTAGAGCTCACGATGATCCGGGGATTTCTCTCTCGCGATGGGAGACTTTCGTAAAACAATATGATGAATGGGTGGCCGCCAACAAGGAAAGACTAGACAAAGAAGCTCTCGAGGCAAGCATTTCTTTGGAGTTATCTTTCGTAGTGAATTCTCGGAGTTCTAACTTTCTCTTGTTTCGATCGATCATAGGTTGATCCCGAGTACTCTCCTGGTAGACGACGCACAGGAGCACGGTACACTGATGGAATGGTTCGTAGTTTTAGTTTTCTCTTCTCCTTGTTCTTCTTTGATCTTGTTTTTTCACAGTATGAGCTTCCATTTATATATCCCGGACAGCACCATGTGGGCATGATCGTCCACATTGATAAACACGATGGTGCTTTCATTTACTTTGGTTGCGTTCACGACGGGTAAGCTCTGTTTCAGCTCGATTCTCTTCCTCGTTTGAAACTTTTTTCTTTTTCATCTTCTTCGATCAGCTGGGTCGGAATTCAAGACAATGACTGGTTCAAGCTGCGGCATATCCTTGAAGTCGGGAGCATTGTCGAGGTGGAAGTGCTTGTAAGTTTGATTGATTCACTCGATTTTACGAGTAAACTTCCTTGTTTTGTAACTACAGGCTAAGCGAGATCCTTACCGCTATCGTTTCCCAATCGAGATGAGGTTCGTGAACCCCAACATCGACAAAGACATGTAAACTCTTTAAGATCTTTAGAGCTCGGCATTGTAGTGGCTAAAGTTTTTGCGTGCAGATTTAGAAGATTCAAGTATCCCCCAATCATACAACGACCAGGAGATGGACACGATGAGGAAGTCGCTGTAAGTTTTTCGATGGTTGTTCTGTGCTAAGATAGTTTTTTTTTTTTCAGAGAGAAACAGGGAGACCTTTTACTCTAGAGCTGGAGCCAACCTTTGCTGATGAACCGGATCCCAGAGAATGCTCTCATCCATACATCCCCAAGGTCAGGCACATTAATTGCTCGCTTTAATCTCTTTGTAATCTTCTGGTTCTCCAGCTCCGGCATTTGTACATTTGCGAGCAATCGATCCTAGATGACGAAGAGGGCACCGGGGATGAAGTGGAAGTCGAAGACGAGAAAGGAGACGAGACGAACGGCGAGGAAGAAAAAGTTCCTGAACCCACCAAAGAAGAATGGTATGAGTACGTGAACCAGGTAGAGAAAGAGCTTACCGACGAGGAGGACCTCGACGACGACGATGAGCAACTGATCAAGAGGAAGGCAGCAAGGAAAAATCCGGGCGTCGTTGGGATTTTAGCACCAACAGCAGCTGTTCCATATCGATCATTCCTTGTGGTAAAGTTCTTTGTTTTTGAGCTACAAACCTTGCAAGGTTTTTAACACTGGTGATCTGCTTTTGTAGAACATTGACAAAGCGGAGCTTGAGCTGGACGTTGCTCGCGAAGAAAGGCAGGTAAAAGTTTCTCTGTGGAGTTTAGCACTGGTTTAAGACTTGGCTGGGCAGACGAGAAACCGGCTTTACAACGAAGCTGCTGCTCAAGGCGACAAGCACGTAGATATCCCACTTCCAAAGCGCCAAGTGATGATGCTGGAGCTAGAGCGAATGCACAGACAGCGGTGCCGAGAGGAAGAAGAAGCTCTGATGCGTGATGCTACCTGGTAAGTTTCTCTTTCTTGTTTTCAAGTCGAGACTAAGCTGAACTTTTTCTTGTAGCCGGTTAGAAGCTGGACTTCCAGCTTGTGATCCAAGGTTCTCGGACGATCCATGGCCTGAGAACAAGTTCAATCCACTGAAGAAGATCTGGCAAGCCGACTACATTGGTGATCCCAAAAAGTATAAGTTCGGAAGGAGGAAGCGTGACAAACGTCCCAGGCATCGCATGACAATGAAAAGAAGCACAGCGGCATCTGAGCAACAGGCTCCGTAGCTAGAAAAAAAGAAGATCCTTCGACCTTGAGGACAAGAACACAGTATGATCTTGCGAGATACGAAGTGCTCTCAACTCGCAAGCACAAAGTTGCTTTTACGCAAACTTGACATTGTATAATGAGATATCTCACCGAGTAATATATCCTCAGCGTCTCATTCAGTCGAGGATTGCCTCCGCCCGCCGGATCCTAGCGAGGTGTTCCAGAGCGTTTTCTGGACGAAGCTGATGTGTCTCAGCCCCGACGGTCCACCTCTCCCGCTAGTTGAAACGAGGTGGTGGACTTACGAGCGTTAGCGTCTCCCAGGAAAAATTTGTGAGCTGACTCAAGCGAAACTTCTCAGTCACTGCCTTGCAGAGAGCCTCCCCTTCGTGTCTCGGTAGAAGAGCACACCGTAGCAAGCCCAGGAACCGAGAGTTGTGGCCGCCACAGAACAGCTACATCACGCACACGAGTGAGTCTTGACTCGAAACGGGAATAGGAGATACCTCAAGAAGAATTGTACCAAGTCCATGTTGATGCCTTGGTGGGAGAAGTTTGGCTCGAGAAGTGCCGCAAAGATGAGGAGGAGCTGGAGAGCCGTGTTCACCTGTGTGATAGAAAAGCTTTAAACATAATATATAGCGAGCTAGAGCTTATTTCTTTTCACCTTGCTGATGAAGATCGGTTGCACCTTAGGAGCGCCTTTGACAAACTCTCCCCAACCAGACCACTGAGGAGAACGCACAATGCAAGCCTGTTAAGGGAGCTAGAATTCTTTCTACACGTACCTTCCATTTTAGCGAGCGAGCACGAAGGTAGAAGGCGCCCGTCACAAGAACCGCATCTCTGGCCACTATCAGCACCACCATTGGAGCTGAAAAATATAGAGAAGCTTAGAAAGCCCGATTTCTTCCTTCACGACAAGGAAACTTACGAGATAGAAGCCCCGTATACGTCATCGACAATGCCACGGATCCTATGAGAACCTGCAAATGGACGAACCAGAGTGCGTGTTATCACTTTCAACCATCGAAACAATGCACCTTGTCAGCAAGGGGATCAAGATAGGAGCCGAGAGCCGACTTTTCCTTTGTTCTTCTTGCAATGTAGCCATCGAGCTGTAAGAAGCTGTAAGACCTCGTATCAAACAATGGAACCAACTCAATCGACAAACAAGAAGAGAAAAAAAAAGACTCATACCCAGTCACTGAATCCTCCCACTAGCATTCCCCAAAATGCTGTTCCTGTATATCCCTCCACGATCGCCCTGGACGCCACTACAAACGAATCAATCACCAGGAAGAGCTGGGAAGATCTAAAGTAGCAAAACATACCAGGCGAGCACCGGCCCAAGAGCAAGCCGTCCGAGAGAAATGGTGTTTGGCCAAGTGAAAAAATCCTTCGCTGCCCAGCCTTCTTCTCCGGCCTCCAATTTGGACGAAGCTTTACCGCGACCTTCTTGTTCTTCCTCCGATGGACGCTGCTGCGAGGAAGTGGAAACGAATCGCGGGCCAAAAATACTCAAGACGCGAGGAATCATCCTCCAATCGTCAAAATCCCGCGGCTTGTCGAGCAGAAATCCATCGCTTCCCTGGGCGCCGACGTACCAGAGGCCGTGAGCTCCAATGCGCGTGGAGCTCCCGAGCAATCGCCTGGCCGCGATCGCTTTGCACAGCGCCCTCCTCGACGCCATTGCGAGTTTGCGAGAGAAAGTAGAGCGCATTAATAGGGTTAGGGTTTTGTACTCCACGAGCATGAGCTATGGGGTGGACGGATGTAGGCTCCAAGGTAGGGCGCCTCATCCTCGACTCCTCCCAGCCGATCATCAACCAGCTCCATCGATCGCGATCCCTGCCGCGGCAGCAACAGCAAGAATCCCCCTCTCCTCCTCCTCAGGTACTCCGCGCTCGATTTCTCGGGTTTCACATCCTCGTCGTGTAATCTCGGCCAGGACGACCTCCGATCCTCCGGCGATGGCGAATTCCGCGGCCCCGACACCTCCTCTCTATCGGCATTCCTCTACTCCTTCCTGTCCTCCCCGCAATCCGCCAGCGGCGGCGCGGATGAGTCAAGAGCGTCCTCTTCGTGGGAGGAGGGCTTCTCGGGCGACCCCGACGCCGACTGGTTTGTGGTTTCTGGCAATGAGTTAGAGCATTCCATAATGGAGGACTACTTGACCAGCCACTTCGAGAGCCAGGAAGCCATTGCCAAGCTCCCGCCAGCTTCGGAAGAATCGTCGCTCCTCTCTGACAAGTTTCGCAGCGTTTTGTATCCTTCGCTCCCGACGATCGTCCAAGGCCGCACCTGGGTGCTGCTCTACAGGTAAGGTGGCATTTCTTCTTCACTCCACTCCATCGCTGCAAGCATGAGCTCACGATGTGTTCTTCGTGGTTTTGGAAACAGCACAGCACGGGATGGCATCTCGCTGCATACACTCTATAGGAAAAGCGTCCTACTTCCAGGACCTTGTTTGCTGGTAAGCACACTTTCATCTCCTCGAACTGTGTTCTATAGTTCTGGGGTTTCGTAGGTGGCTGGAGATCGAAAGGGCGCAGTTTTTGGGGGATTGCTACTCGCTCCGTTCAAGCCGACCAGGAATAAGTATCAAGGCACTAATCAGACCTTCGTTTTCACAAACGTCTCTGGCCCGGCCAAAGTATTCCGGCCAACAGGTACTCAATCTTTCACGAAGAGCTACGCATCTTTGTTTTCAACTCTGGGATCTCGATCGCGCAGGAAGGAACAGATACTACTTCTTGTGCACAAACGACGCATTGGCGATCGGAGGAGGCGGGCATTTTGCTTTGTACCTGGATAGCGATCTGTAAGTTTTTTGCGGTTTTTCTCTTCTTTTTCTCCTCGCTGAAGTGAAGCTAAGACAAAATGGTTTGTTCTTTCATCAGATTAACTGGATCAAGCGGTGCCTGCGAAACTTTCGGGAGCGAGTGCCTGGCGCATGCTGAGGACTTCGATCTAAAAGACGTCGAGGTAGAATTTTTCTTCGATTCTCTTTCGCGGTTTTGGTGAAGAAGATCGTTGCTTGATCTGTAAATGCAGCTCTGGGGTTTTGCCCATTCGTCTCAGCGAAGCAGCCTTGGCAAAACAACGAACGCCTTCGAATCTTTGTGATGATCCGTTTTTCGTGTACATATACCCGCTAGAACGAAATATAAATATAAAGAGGATCCCATGATACATTTTAGGGTTTATCAGAGGCGTCGCAAATGGTGAGTGTTCTTGCGCGATCGATCGATCAATCCGTCACGAGCTTGGGATTCTCGTTTGCGCAGGTCTACCATTCGTCTTTCAAAGATGAGAGCGGCGCCGGCCAGGCCTGCGGGTGCCCCCTCCTGCCACTCCGGACTCCAATCAAGGGCCCCGCGCCTCTCGCTGATCCTGGTGAGTGATGAGCTGCATTCTCTCCCAAATCCCCGAGAAAGAATGCTGACTGCCGTGATCTTCTCAAGGCCAATTCGATATCATCGACGAGGCCATCAATTTCTTCCGCGCAAACGTGCTCTTCCGCAAGTTTGAGGTGAAGAGCTCCGCGGACAAGCTCCTCATCTATCTCACCATGTACATCAACATGGCGCTCAAGCGGATCGAGACGTGTAAGTCGGAGGCCGAGGGGATCAAGGTGATTATCAATCTTGGGTTGGAGAAGTTCCCCATTCCCGGAGAGCCGGATTTTCCTCTGGGAGGACTCTTCACTACTCCTGGATCACCGCAAGAAGCTGGTAAAGTCTTTGCTTCTTTTTCTCCTCTCTTCTCTATTCTTTTTTTTTTTTTTTTGGTGGTGTCTCTAACATTCTTTGTGGTGCTCTAGATTTGTTTAGAAACTACTTAAAGCAGCTCAGAGAGGAAACTAGCGGCAGGCTTATGGGCCGTGTGTATCGACCCAATGGAAGTCCCAATAAATGGTGGCTAGCATTTGCAAAGAGGAGGTTTATGAACATCCTTCTTCCTTTCTAGAACAACGTAAGTTCTGGTGACAAAAGTTCCAAAACCTCATCGTATTTTGTTTTACAGTTGAAAGATATCTTCTAGGAATTCTATCCGTGAACCATCATCTCCCGGTATGCTTTAGCTCGATTTTATGCCGGTTGCAAAAGGTTTTAAAACGTTTGCAACTTTATAATTACAGAAAAAAAAGAGTTCTCTTGTTTGTGTGTAAAGAATGGGCCTGCTCTGTACATCAAGGCCAAAACTCATTGATCATCATCTCGCGTACTCAGCAAAACAAATGAACGGCTATGAATAAAAGACCGAAGGCTCCTCAACTTGGCAGCTCCAGGCTCTCGTCTGATGCGAGACAAGACTTCGACGATGTCTTTCATCGAGGGCCGTCTTGCTGGGGACGGATCCGTGCTAATCAGAGCTATCTTGAAGACGCTGCTGATTTCTTCCTGGAAAGGCCCGTTGACGTTCCTCAGGATGGGATCTACGATGTCACTCAAAGGCTGGTCGTCTGCAATGCTGTTCCTGACCCACGAGACAAGGCTCGTACCATCCTCCATCATCGGACGTTTCCCAGTCAAGAGCTCTAGCAGGACTACTCCAAAGCTGTAAACGTCTGCTTTCTGGCTCACCTTCGCTGATTCTGCAAGACATAGAAAGGCATTTCAAGGTGAGAACTTGAAAAGTTGATGAAGCTCTTTTAACTAACTAGTGCGTACCAGGTGCTGTGTAGCCGAAGGATCTGTTCAAGCAGGACAAGTTTCTCGAGTCCCCGATGAGCTTGGCTAGTCCGACATCCGCAATGCGAGCGCCAAACGCCGAGTCTAGAAGTACGTTGTTGGACTTGATGTCGCAGTGCACGATTGAGTACTGATGGTGCAAATATGACAGGCCTTGAGCAGCTCCCACGGCAATTTTGTACCGGGTGTTCCAGTGAAGCTTGGGTCCCGAAGGCCTGTGGAGTGCCTCGGCAAGGCTCTTGTTGGGCATGTACTCGTAGAGGAAGATTTTTGCGCCTTTGTAGACGAGGAAATCCTCCAGCTTCACAACGTTTGGATGGCGGATGCGGTTGAGCTTCCTGGCGGCGGAAGTGTAGTAGTACGTGTTCTTGGTGTCGTCGGCATCTTGCTCGGTACGTACTACTTTCACTGCTAGGATCTTCTCCCATGCAAATATGCCTCTGAACACTGATCCATATGGTCCCGTGCCAATAACATTACCATCACTGAACCCCTCTGTTGCCTTTTCAATTTCTGTATAGAGCGTAGGAACTCTGTCTGCGAACTTGTTCTCCTGCATGACGGTGGACTTCTTTCGTTTCAGAGCTCTATAGGCGCACAACAAAAAGATTGCCGTAGCCGCAAGGAAGACTCCTCCAAGGACGAGAAAGACAAGGCCTACTGTCCTTCCAGCGGACCTTCTTCTTCGGGATCGAGGTGTGGCAGGAGAAGTACCAGCAGGAGGTTGGCTGCCGCAACTTGCCAGTGGAGGCCCACACAAGTTCAAGTTGTTCATGAAGACACTTGGAGAAGCGCCAGTGAAGAGCGTTATCTGAGGTATCTCGCCACTGAGTTGATTGTTCGAGAAGTTGAACTGATCAAGACTTCTCAGTTCTCCGAGGGATGGAGGAATCGGTCCAGAAAAGCTGTTGCTGGAGATATCCAACACTGTCAACGACGTAAACGTGCTGAAATAACCGGGAATGGTGTCACTGATGTTGTTGTGGCTCAAGTCGAGCGTGTGGAGTCCCGTCAAGCTGAGCAGAGTTGGAAGGCTTCCTTGGAACAGGTTCCTGGACACGTTCAAAGCCTCTAGAACAGGTAGCCGATAGAAGTCGTTCGGCATCGGCCCCGAGAAGCGATTACTTCCGAGAAGAAGGGACTTGAGATGTTCCAGCTCGTTGCTCAGCGATAACTGGCCTCCCATCTGGTTCATGGAAAGATCGAGGACCTCCAACCGAAGTGACTGGAACTGTGGAAAGCTGCCGGAGATGAAGTTGTTGGAGACGACCAACGTTTGCAGCGACGAGCAGTTCTCGACTGTGAGCAGTGTTCCTTCGATCCTGTTATTCGAAAGATCGACCAGCGATAGATTCCCGCTGCTGCACAGCCTCGGAGGTAAGCCTCCGGAGAACCTGTTGTTGGAAGCATTTAACACACGTAGATCGCTCGTCATTCCCAGCGCAGGTGGCAAAGGCCCTTGAAACCGATTCCCCGAGAGACTCAACACGGACAAGCTGGAAAGGAGACCGATCCGCAGCGGCAGCTCACCTGTGAAACTGTTGAGAGACAAATCCAGCGCGTCCAGCGTCACCATCGCCCCAAACGAATCCGGTACGCTTCCTGTTATGTTGTTGGAGCTCAAGTTGAGTGACAGCATTTGCCTCCAGGTGCTTCCCAGGCCCAGCGGCAATTCTCCCGACAACCTGTTACGCGAGACGTCGAGGCTGGAGAGGCTGGAGAGGCTGCCAAGCTCCACCGGAAGGCTCCCGGTGAAGTTGCAACTCGACGCCTGGAACTCGTTCAAGTTGACGAGCCGGCCAAGCTCGCTTGGAATCTGCCCCTGGAACAAGTTACGGTTGATGGTCAGCCGCTTGAGCGCAATGCAGCCTCCGAGCTCCCTTGGAAGCGGCCCGGAAAGTCTGTTGTTATACAGCGCCAAGTGCGTGAGCCGCTGGAGCCTGCCAATCGTAGCCGGGACGCCACCTCGAAGACGGTTGTTATAAACTTGGAAGAACGTGAGCGACGAGCAGTTCCCGATCTCGCTGGGGATGAAACCATCCAGCTCGTTGTCATCGACTCTCAGCCTGGTCAGGAGACGGAGAGAACCGATCGAGGCCGGGATGGAGCCTTGCAGCCTGTTCATGAAGAGCCGGAGGCTGGTCAAGTTCGGCAGCAAGTCGAGGCGCTGAGGTATGGTTCCGGTCAACGAGTTTTGGCTGAGATTGATATCCGTGAGTTGTGTGCAGCTGGTGATCTCGCTGGGGATGAAACCGGAGATGCTGTTCCTGGACAAGTCGAGAGCCTGGAGGCCCAGGAGCCTCCCGATCGCCGGAGATATCACACCTTGCAACGATCTCCCTGACAGAGAGATCCCTGTCACCGTGCCGGTGCCGTTTCGACAGCGAATCCCCTGCCATGAGCAGTAGCTCGTCGATCGATTCCAGTCTCTCAAGCTCCCCAATGGATCGGTGAGATTGCTCCGGAGCTCCAGAAGCACGGAGCCATCGTCGCTGGTCTGAGCTGCGACGAATCTAGTAGCTACGAGGAGGAGGGAGACCAAGGAGCAAATCAGTACCGAGTTGCAGCGCTCCCTGCTCGTCCGGAGAAGACCCATCAGAGTTGCATCGCTCGCTCGCTCCTGCCGCAAACACCAGCGCCGCTCTTTGTCCACCCAGGTGATTTAAGGCTACCTCTCTATCAATCAATCACAAGTACTGACTTGTTTCGTTTGCGCAGCCTTGGATTGCCGCCTTGGATTGATTTGTTGGAACGCAAACCTCACTGTGAGGGGCCGCAAAAGATAGCAGCGCGATTGGTTTGGTGAGGAGCGGGTCGTGTGAGAAAGCGTGGACTTGAGAAGGTTCGTTGTGGTACGTGCCCGATTCTTTGATTTTTTCTACTTTTTTCTCGTGTTTTTTTTTCTTTCTTTTTTATTCTTTCTAGTCTGATAAGATGTAAGATGGCACATCTTTGTTATGCTATTAGTCCCTCCTGGCCTTGCTTATCTCTATGCTTTACTAGTGTGTGCCGCGTGCCTTTCTTCTTCACATCTCTCACTCGCTCTTACAGGTTCTCTCACAAGGCGCTTCCAGGAGAGTTTTTCAAAGAACGCGGAAAGCAGCGAGAAGACGACCGAATCGTGGCCGTCGGTGATGCCCCGTGACGTCACGCGCGTTTTGTGATTCGCTCAGCGCTTGTGAGGTGGAATGCGTCGCCCTCTTGCTGCATTTTCGACGTTCTTTTCCATTTTTCCATCTGTTTTTCTAGGTGGCCAACCCGGCCCAGTCGCAAGGGAATGATACAAGAAAAACATGGCCACGAAAGGAAATGTTCCCGCTTGGAGTTATTAGAGCGTGGCAGCCAAGGAGTTGAGCACAAGCGCGATGCTTTTTCCCCTCTCGATTCCAGCTCCAAGAATTTTCAATACTTCCACTTGACTTTCCATCTGGAATTTATGTCCAACCAAGTCAAATTGCTGGGGCTGGAGGAAGCTAAACTCAGACTTTGACATTATAGCTGTAGCATCATTCAGGAGACAAGAGAAAACCCTACTTTTAACTTGCCAGTCCGATTTGAGGGATTGGTCACGCTCCAATTCCAAGAGATAGGCCTTTCAACGCAAATGCATACCAGGCGGGCGGCGATTTTTCCCTGTATTCCGGAGCATCGTCGTCGTGCTTGGTGACAACATTCCACGCCGCATTCTGTGCACCAATCAAACTCCCCTCGTGGTCTTTTCTACCAAGATTTGTCAACATGATTGTAAAAGAGAGGCTTTTTATACTTTTGTTTAGAATCCATATCCCCTGCACTAGCTGTCCTTTGATTCTTTTGAATCTGGAAAAATAAAAGAGGAGATATATCTCATAAATTTATAATTTATAATTTTACGAATTTCCAGTAATATAATAATCTATAGCTGGTATTGACAAAATAGAGAATAATCAGGGGTTGTAGCTCAGATGGTAGAGCGATCGCTTTGCATGCGATAGGTAAGGGGATCGATGCCCCTCAACTCCATATATTTAACTTAATACAATTTATAATTTAAATCATATATTTCATTTAATTTTATATTTTTAAATTATATTTTCACACTGTGAGTACATCTTGGACCTCACAACACATATATATCAATAAACCAGTTTGAAGCTGGTTGACACCAACGCGGTCACCGCGTTCATGAGCCGGGGATACGCGCAGCCCGTACAGGGTGGCGCCTTCTCCTTGCAAATGGCCATACCCGTACCGAGATACAGATCCGGCTCGGTGGTGTACGTGGCCCACTTGTTCTCCAATCTCCACCGTCCATCCTGGAGCCGGAATATCGTAAACTCTGGCCAATAGTTGATCTTAATGTACTGCTTTGCGTCCACACACACAAACCTCCTGGATAAACAAAGCCAACTAAGAACCCTAATTTCCTTTTCCTTAAAAGAAGAGAACTTACCAAGCCGACTCCTGGCCACCCCAAATTGGGTCATTGTCCGCGGCAGTGATGCTCCCGTCGCAGTGGAAGAAGCGGGCCAATGCCGGCTTGCCATGTGTCGAGGGATCTAACGAATACCAATATTGTCCACAGGCCTAGAGAGCCATGGCGAACTTTTAATCAACCTCTATTTTCTATATAATTCTCCTTACGGGTTTAACGCGAAGCTCCCATGTACGGCTGCACATATCGCTGGAAACCAGCCGGTACTGGAAAGAAGAAATTTGTTAGAAGAAAGCTTAAGATGATATGATAGTAACAAGGCCCAGTAGTAGACGCTAGACTCTTCTGGAAACCTCTTCCACACAAACCTTGCGGGAATCGTCCATGAGGAGCCTGTAGGCCGCACGGGCAGCAATTGGGCGATGGAGGGCGAGCATCTGGAGGGGGATCTGGGCCCTGAGGCCCAGGAGCTGGGCGAGCAGGGGACGCCATAGCACGTCCGAGGATGCGAGGCCTCGCCACGATCGGCAAACCAGGCGGCATCGTGCCAAGCTCTGTGCATCCAGCCGCGACATGATGCTCCACTGCAGCAAGTCACTGCTCACGAGTTCCTCTTGTTCCTCCTCCTCCTCCTCCTCCTCTTCGGGATCATCATCTACCTTCGGATCTCCCCGATCTTCTTCTTTCTGCTCAATCCCTTCCCGCTGCTTCTTCTTCCTCCTCTTTCTCATGCTGTTGCTGGGAATCGAGCTAGCGACTAGGGCGGCGCCTTCCATTACCGCTTTACCCCTTTCCGCTTTGCGCTCTAGAAGCTAATATGCGAGCTCTACTTCCTGGGCTTTTGTCAACTTTGTAAATTCTTCTTTTTTATCTTTTAGTGTGGGACAGGTGTCGGATTGAAAACAGCGCCTTGTTTAGTGCACAAGTATAGTGGATCATTGTGAGGCTTACATCTAGCCAAAAGCACAGAAATGTAATCCAGGATATTGGATATATTCAGTATAATTATACTTTGATTTGCAAAAGTGATGGATAGTAAAGCATACGATAGAAAAGTCTGCAGATGGTTCCACATCACTCAGCCTTCCAATGGACAATGGCATAATCTCCTCAGTGCTAGCTAAGTTTTATAGCCTAACCATGCTCACTGATTCATTGGATTAGTAATTAGATTTCATAGTATATTACCTTTTTATTGTGTTAAAAATGCTATATTTTAATTATAATAATGCAAACTAACAATGTTTTGATAAGATAAATCATGTTAAGCTATTTGACATAAACATGATCTGGATTGCTGCAGTCGTCATGCTTTTGAGTGCCCCACATTCCATGGTGTGTGATACTCTATTAATATATAGTTTGAAACTCACAATTTAACCAGGCTGCTTGTGCATCATTCTCAAGAAACTGCCCCTATTTCTACTATGAGCCGTTTGGAGGTGTTTTGTGTGCCCGTTGCGAGTGGAGATATGGCTGGCCAAAGAAGACATTTATAAATCTCAACAAGTACCTTAGTAACAAGGATTCAGAGCTTGCCCATGGGGGAGGCTTCCTCTCCACTTGCTACAAGATGAGGGTAATCACTTTAGACACCAGCAAAGGCAAGTTTGTGGATCTTGCAGATTGTGCCGAGCATATGATTCTCTCTTGCACTGGACAGCTTTTTCTCTGGATACTCACATGACAAACATTAATGGTAACCTTTAGTGGTGTCAGAAATAAAATATTACAAATTAGCTTGAGTGAAATGATTAGATAAGGCAAAGGAAATTGTTTTTATGATAATTACAAATTTTTGGCTGAATAACAAAGTTTACTTAAATAATTTGTTATTACAAATATACACAATTATTTCTTTCTGGCTTGCTTAGGCAGCAATATTGTTCATCAAAATGATTGTTAGTTTATATTTACTATACATCCCCAAGTGTTTAGGAGTATGATTGGACATGATCAAATGTATATCAGTAATATATAATATGCATATATATAATTTTTTTTGTTTTATAATTAAATCCCATTATTTATTTTTTAAATTATGGAAATCTAATAATTGATTATAATATAATTATGATTTAGCTACCTAATTAAAAGCTTAGAGGCCAAAACAAACTCTTGAATAATATCAAATCATTTTACCTCTAGTTTTAAAACCTTTTTAATGATAATTATTCATACTCAAATTTCTAATATTAATTAAGAAAAAGAAACATTTTGAGTTCATGAGTTATATTATATTTTTCACATTTTATTTACTAGATATCTAAAATTCATAATTATTTATAATTTAATTTTATTGTTAAATATATTTTTTATTTTCTTGAAAACTTACTTGATATTTTATTTTCTTATTTTTATAATATTTTTTGAAAAAAGGAATTGAAATTTAATTAGAAAATAAATTCTATCATAACAAAAAGCATACAAATTTTATAGAACTCTAAAAAATAAAAAATTGTTAAACACTTATAAATTTTTGTCAATTCGGACGTGCCCCGTTACTTTTTTATTAAAGAAATATTAGTATACTATAATAAAATAAAAAACATAACAGAATATACTTGTATATTTAAGAGATTTGCGAAGCTATTTGACATAAAATGATCTGGATTGCAACAGTCCTCCTGCTTTTGAGTGTACCACATTCCAAGGTGTGTGATACCCTATCCATATATCCATATATAGCTGAAACTCATAATTTAATCAGGCTGGCTGTGTACCATTCCCGATAAATTGCCCCACTTTCTCCTACGAACCATTCGGAGGTGTTTTGAACGCCCGTTGCGAGTGGGGATATGGCTGGCCAAAGAGGACATTCATAAATCTCAACTACCACCTTAGCAACAAGGATTCGGACCTTGTCCCTGGTGGAGGCTTTGTGTACAGTTGCTACAAGATGAGGCTAGTCACAGTGGATGCCGACCAAGGCAAGTATGTGGATCTTGCAGGATGGTGCCGGGGATATGATTCTCAATTGCACTGGACAACTTTCCCTCTAGATACTAAAATAACAAACGTCAATGGTAACCTTCAGTGGTGTGAGAAATAAAATTTTTCACAAATTAAAAAAATACAAAGCCAAGCTTGAGTAAAATGCAAGCAAAGAGCAGGGCTTCGGGCAAAGCAAAGCAATTGTCATTGTTTTTATGGTAAAGGCCAACTATAAAGGAAGTTCGCTTAAATAGTTTTTTATTATCGCTAAACGGTATCTACAAGACGTCACAAAGCATAAGAATTACGTACATCCGTTATTTGCGTCTTTCACTTGCTTAGGCAGTAGCGTCGCTCATCACAGTGTCCTTGGTAGCTTCTGAAAATAGTTTCACAAAAGTTAGCTCCAGGGAAGAGAATAAAACCAAGCTTAGTATTGCAAGTTACCCGAGGATGTTTTCTCGTCCGGTTGCTTCTTGCCTAGGAACGATCCCATGACACCGGTTACTTTGTCCATAACACCTTTTCCCTGTTGGTTTGTAGCACCCGGACTCGCTGGTGTAGCCTCCGGCGTAGTAGCCTGTGGAGATGAAGCTCCAGTGTTCTTCGATCCGCCACCCAGGGTCAACATGTCAGTGATCTTCTGCGACAAAGCCGTGTCGTGCTCGTCCGGAGTGAAAAGCTTCGTGTTCTTGCCCTCGCCAGCACCTGTTTCGGTCTCGGTTCCAGCACCGGCACCGTAGCCAAGTTTCGCAGCGACCGCATCCTTCGCGCCCATCACCTTCTGCGTTATACCGGACTGAGGAGACTGCGTTGTCGAATCGACGTCACTCGCGGGAGTAGTCTGGGGCGTCTGAGCACCGGTTCCACCGTATCCCAGCTTCGAAGCAACGGTGTCTTTGACAGCGGTAGCCGAGTCCATCGCCCGGGACGTGACGCTCGGGGTGGTACCAGTGGCGGACTCGGTTTGCTCGGTGGTTTGTCCCGAGGCTGGTACGTCCGTCGGCCCTGTGCTCGAAGGTAGCTTGCTGCTGACTGTATCCTTTGCAGAGACTGCGGCATCTCGAGCCTTTTCTGTCCAAGTTTTGGAATCCTGTCCGGTACCTTCCGTGACACCCGTTGGAGCCGTGGGAGAGGTAGTGTCCGTTGTGGATGCCTTGGGCGATCCCATAAGAGCGTTCTTCACCGAGAAGACGCTCTCGGAAGCTCTCTGCATCCAGCCCTTCTGTGAGTCACTGGTTTTGAGCTGCGGATCCGATGGAACTTCGGTATCAACCTGGAGCAAACGTTAATAAGTCTTGAAAACTTTGCAGTTTTTCCACCGTCACAAACCTTATCGCTTGGCGACTTATCGACGACTTCGGATGACAAGAGATCACTGCCGCTGCTGTCCACGCCGTCCACAACAGGCTTGGCCTCGTCCTGTGACGCCGAGGGCTTCATAATACCCTCGGGAATCTTCTCCTCCGTCTTCCCGGCTAGAGCTCCAGCCGCAAGAGAAGACGAATCAGTTTCTCCTCGAGGCTTGCTTTCAAAGCCGCTAGACTCCAATCCTGACGAAAGTCCGGACGATTCTTGACCTGAAGAACAAAAAAGCTCGAGTCAGAAATATCTATCCCCAAGTTGGTTTCTCATGAGTTACTGACCATGAGCGGCCGGAACTTCCTCCTGCCTCTTCTTAGTTTCGTCCCATGATGGAGCTTCGCTAGTCGCCGAGCGAGGCTCATCATCGCTGCGAGGCCACTCGGATCCAGGAGCAGGAGCACTTGGATCGGCCTGGCCATGCACTCCGCCGCTCAAAAGATCACCACTTTCCTTCTTCTCTGGGCCGAGATCAAGTTCTCTGGATTGGAAATCATGTTCGCCACCATGAACAGCACCCTCTAGAAAAACACGCAATGAATCTCATCACCAACTTAATTCTATAAACAACGGAAAAGGAAGAACAAAGCTTTACCATGGCGAGCCTCTGGAGTAGCGGCAGCTCCCTGGTATCCCGTTTGCTGCTGTTCCTGCCAGGCCAAAACAAATCATTAGCAATTCGATGGATCCATCGAAAAGTATCAGCCAATTTCCTTCCAAGTTACCTGATCATAGCGAGGAGTATCGTCTCCCTGCTCGTCCTCGCTGCTGCTGCTACTGGTGTCGCCGCCGGCGCCCTCGACATTGTCTCCCTGCCCCTCCTTACGCTTCTTGGACTTTCCCTTGATCTTGCCAGTGAGCTTTTTCGCCTTGTCCTTGACCTTGCCCACAACGGATTTCTTCTTGTGATCGCCCTCCTCCTGAGAGTGCGGAGACTCAGCCTCTTGCTCGCCTGGATGGATCGAGAGAGAAAGAGGGTGAGAACCGAAATCTAGCGAGAAATTCTTGCTTTGCTCTGCTTACCGGGTGACATCTTCATGTAATCCCCGCCCTGCTCGCCCGATGGATACGCCTGCGACTGCATTCCTGCTAGATCTGGACCGATCAACCACAAATTCGCTTAGAATCACCGACGATCTCTCTCTTTTCTCTCTCGAGACTCTCTCTTTGCCTTTCGCTATCCCGCTGCGCCCTGCGATTTTAAGAGAGTGGACGAGCTAAACCTCACACACTAGCGGACATATACAGTTGGCGAGTGCCACTCGTCCCCTTGGCGAGCCACCGCGTGGCGAGGAAAGGACACGTAACGCATGACGCGTGTCGTTGTGCCGACAAGCCCAGAACAGAAAAAAATCCGCCACCTTTCGGTGGGCGCTGCTGCTGCTGGTGGCCCCTCCAAAAATGTCAAAGAATCTGATCTTAGATTCCGGGCCATCCAAATAGCCGGAAGATTCTCGTCCATTTTGCTGTGAGATTCATGATATTATTTTCTGCCAACTTTGACAAGTTTTGTTGCCTACCCAATACAGGACGATTATGACACTTTTTTATTGGGTCCGATGAGCAAAAACGAGATGAAATGGATTGAGATAATGGAAAGAAAGAGAAGATCGATCAAGCAACAAGTAAGATTTGAAGTCCACCGACGAGAACGAAAAAACTAATAGCTCGAGGATTGATCCAATCCCGTCGCCACCTTTCTGCCCAATCAATTGTTTCAGTGCCTAGCTTCATCTTGTAGCAACTGTACGCATCCAACTATACTTGCATCGGTCCGCATCCACAGTGACTAGCCTCATCTTGTAGCAACTGTACCGACGAGAATGAAAAAACAAACTGCTTGAAGGATTTGATCCAATCCCATCGCCACCTTTCTGCCCAATCAATAGCTTCACAACCAGAATTCCATTCTGTGACGTGTGGGGTTTCGATTCATGGCTCGGTCTCCACCACCGTGAAACTCGCTTCTCTCGCGTTAGAACTCTGGCTTCCCCTCGGAGAAAAGCCTGGGAGCTATCAGAGTTTCTCGAGCGCGCGCTCTCTCTCTCTCTCGCTTCGGAGTTAAGTTGCTGCTTTGTCAATGGAGGCTTCGTTTCCTGCGAGGCCAATCTCTTTGCTGGCCACGGCCAGAAACGCTGCTGCTGCGTCAGCCACCGATTCGCCAGACTTGAGCCTCTTGCTGGAGGAGTGATCGGGTCGCGGCCGGTTGTTCTTCTTCGTCGTCGTCCTCATTCCAGCTTCTCTCACAAGGAGCTTTTGTTCTGAACGAACGCAGAACAGCGAACGCGAGTGAGAAGCGAAGTCTTCTCTAGCTATTCTGTATATGTCACCTTCTGTGAGATCAGGAATCCCGTGCTCGATGAAGCGATTCGCGGCCTTGACGTCCAAGCTCAACGTTGGTCGCGGGGCTGCAAGGAGCGATAAGAACACAACGTAGCACGCAAAAGTTTCATAGACAAAGTCTCGCCTTTGCTTCTATCGCAGGCGTACTGGACCTTCTCGTCGTAGAGATTCACTCTGTCCTGCAAAACATATAGAGGGCGATCACAAGGAAGAAAGAAAAGAAGATAGAGATAGAACCAACCAGCTCGGATTTCACGGGATGATCCTCCGGGCATTCTCCCCGCGTCCTCAAGAGCACTGCCGCAAAGGAGAAAATCTTGCAAATGGAATGAAGAGAATGCGCGATTTCGCGAAGAGCACACTTACAGCAATAGACGGCATTGAGCGCCTTGGACACGGCCATGTAGGCCGAGGCGCGATCCGCCGGCGCCAGCAGCGCCAATGCATCCGGCGACCAGGAATTCAGGAGCTTCTTCATGTGCTGCTCCAGCCGCTCCAATCGATCGTCCATGCCGCTCACGCCCTCCATCACTTCCTCCGGGATAGGGGCCGCCATCGTCTCCTCTAAAACCTCCAGGGTTAGGGCTTCCAAGTTCTTGCGATTTAAAACCCTTCGCTCTTTACCTTTAGGTTTGTCTTTGCGTGGAAATGGAGCGATCTGGAAATGGCGCCAGCTCCAGCAGCTCCGGGAAGGAGATCGCGGATGCCGCCAGCGATCAGGGCTCCATCGATACGTCGGAATCGGTGCAGGAGCCCGGATCCTCAGGTAATCTTTCCTGGACAAGGGCTTTGGCTATCGGATGCTACCGAGATTTTGCCCGAATTCCCGCATTTCTTGCGTCCTCGCAGACGGCGAGGCCAAGCAGGCGATGGAAAACAAGGAAGACGAGGAGCTATCGCGAGGCGTGAATGAGATTTCCATTGCCAAGGGTCAGAGTGACGGAGATCCAAATCGCAGCTCATCTGGGGAATCTTCTGGAACAAATGGTGCTGGAGGAGAGGAGATCGCGCGTCGTGTTTCACATGATGGAAATAGCTGGGTCCCTGGAAAGAGACATGCAGACGAGGTGAGAATTCATCCTTTGTTTCTCTTTTCACTCTCTCCTTCTCAAAATTTTATTTTATTTTCTGGCACAGGATGATAGTAGCGAGTCATGGCGTAAACACAAGAAGCACTTCTTTGTTCTCAGCAATGCCGGAAAGCCTATATACTCCAGGTGTGGTTTTTCTCTGTTGCTACGCTGTTCTTGATCTTCGTTGTTTAGATATGGAGATGAGCACAAGTTGGCTGGCTTCTCCGCAACACTACAGGCAATCATGTCGTTTGTAATAACTAGGTACATTCCATGGCTTCCTTTCTTCTTTTCCTTCATTTTGATTCTTTGGATTTACAGCGGAGATTGCCTGCAACTGGTGCGTGCTGGAAATCATCAGGTTGGTTTGTTTTTCTGAAGGGTTTACTTCAAGTAATTTGCTTGCAGATCGTTTTTCTAGTAAAAGGACCGCTGTACCTTGTATCGATTAATTCCACGGAGGAGCCGTATCAGGCTATGAAACGTCAGTTAGAGCTCCTTCATGGCCAGGTATGCTTCCTTGACGATACTGTTGCCACTAACCGGGTACAAGCTTAGCTTTTTCTCATCCTCACGAAAGCTGTGGAAAGATGTTTCGCGAAGCATGCCACCTTTGATATGAAGACCTTGTTGGGAGGAACGGACATCGTGCTTTCGTCCTTGGTGCACTCATTTAATTGGTAAGGTGCATCGTAAAAGGTGAAGAAAGCTGATTGATTCGCTGTTCATGTTCAGGAACTTTACTGTATTCCTCCATGCGTATGCCTGCTTGCCACTGCCATATGCTGCGAGGCAGACCGCAGGAGCCGCATTACAAGATATTGCAGAATCCGGCGTGCTGTTTGCACTTCTGATGTCGGGATATAAGGTCGTACGCTCTGTCTTATTGCGGTTGTAATCTCCATTTTCAGGTCATCAACATGGTGGGACCTCGCAAGGCTTCTCTTCACCCGGACGACCTGTTCCTTCTTTCCAACTTTGTTTCGTCGTCGGATTCATTCCGGTAATCTTACATATACTGGCGTTGCTTGCTGATATTCACCATTCTGCAGAACAACAGAGTCCTTTTCTCCAGTATGTCTGCCACACTATAATCCGAATGCGTTTGTGTATGCGTATGTTCAGTACCTTACTGTAAGGACTGCCTGACAATGGGATCTAGATACTATGTCATGATGTTCCTGCAGGAGAGCGTTTATCTTGTGCTGATTTCAACATCCTTGGATAGCTTCTATCATTTGAAAGATTGCAGGTTTGTGAAGGGATTATGTTATGGTTTATGAGTCTAATGAGCCTTTCAGAGCGCGAGTTGAGATGATATTGAAGAAGTCTCGAGTTCTAGGCGAGATGAGTCGTTCAGTGGAACGAGGGGGCTTACGTGTGAAAGATCTGTCTTTAGACTCACAGAACGGATTTACTACGAGGAAGCCAGATGTCGTTCGTGAGAATACCAAGACGCTTTTGGGGGGTCCAGCAGGCCTTTGGCACTTTCTATACAGGAGTACCTATCTCGATCAGTATGTTGCTTCCGAGTTTACACCGCCGTTGCATACATACGCAGCCCAGAAAAAGTACGTAGAAGTTTACAGTTGCTGTTCTGACTAGCTTTCAATGGCCTCAGGTTGTTTAGAGCGTACCAACGCATCCATTTCTCTATGCATGACGAAAACGGGGGTCATCACAAGATGCAGTACAGGAGAGACGAGAACTATGGTCTGTTCCGTTCTGTAAATATTAAAGTAGCTGTCACATTTGTGCTTGCAGTGCTGATGTACTGGAGAACGTCCGATTTTGAGCTCTACGCGGCTTTTGATCCCCTGGCAGAGAAGGTAAAGCTCGGTTGGTTTTCGTGCTCTGTAACATTCTGTGTAACGCAGAGTGCGGCCATCAGAGTTTCGAACCTCGTCTGTCAATGGCTTCGAAATCTAGAAAGTGAAGTGTTTTTGCTAGGTGCAACTTCATTTAACTGGTGACAGTTTTTGCGAATAAAACTTAACGAGAGGTTACCATGCCAAGAGGTATTCCCGAGACTGTTATATTGTTCAAAGATCAAGGGATTTGAGTATTCAAATCCACCAGGTATGATCATTTCACTTGGCACGTCGATCTCTTGCTTTCAGTGACAGCTACTTTTGATATCAACAGCAGGAAGACAATGCAAAGAGCCTATTTGGTCACTCGTTTCTATTGCGTGTGCGAGCGTGTTAAGTACAAGATTGAGATTTGTGCTCTTGGCAACATCGTTGCGACTGGCCTTTTGCTACAGTGCTGGCTGCTGAATTGAAGGTACTCAGAAAGTACACAGGAATCATTTCAGTCTGGTCGCACTTGTTTGAGCATGTTCTTTACCGTATAGCTTTGAGTCAGAGCGTCTTGTAGTAGTCCAAAGCGACTGTGTGTGTTTGCTGGTTCATTCCAGGCTATGCATGGTTGGATCTGTCCTTGCAAGATGCGTCTTTTGCTTGTCGCATTGAATGAGCTCGGATATCAGGTCCATGCATCATGCATGCATCCGCGCGTGCAGTGTTGGCTCGATCCTGTTGGTAAGAGCGTCTGTCATTATGCTTTTGTGTTGCTAGCCATGCACACGAATGATGAACAGCTTTTCTTCGTGCTCCGCAGATCTGGATCCAAACCATGAGCTCAACAGTTTCTAAAGCGTCGAATTAAGGAAGGAGAGTCCGCTCTCCCGTCGTGACATAGCAAAAAATTTCTCGGTATGGACAACTCAAGATTGAAACCAAAAAGCTAACGTGATCCTTTCTCTCTTTCACGGGAACCCGAGCTCTGGAGGAGATCGTCGGACTAAGTACCTCCCGGGCAACATGTTACCGACGGGATTGGGACCCGACGGCACCTCGTGAAGCATCCTCCGGAATTCAGCATCACTCAAAGCAGCAATGGTCGAGGCAGGGGGTCCGGACGGAAAATAGTGGAGACGATGGTCAGCTGGGAACAGGAGATCAGAAAAGGAAAAGCAGTGTGAGCAGCATTGGATCAAGCAGGTAGAGAAAGAAAGAGCTCGATCAAGTACCTGGAGGAACCAGTCTTGCCGCTCCAAGCGTAGCAGCAGAGAAGATGATCACAAGGACAAGTAGGAGGCGCGCACGCATTGCGGATTGATCCATTGACGTAAAAAGCAAGGATCCACGATCTCACACGACGATAAGAATGCGAGAGACAGGACACCAGCTTGGATCGCTCGAGCAAAGTTCTTCCGTTGGTAGTACAACTCCTTGGCCGTGAATGGAGCTCAAGGCAACGGGATCAAACGGGAATTTATACTGGACGATCGATCGGAACAAAACAAACGCGACGCTGCAAGGATATATAGCGAGCAACAGTATTTGAGAGGTCGACACTTTCAATCCTCCTTCGTGCCTCGAAACAAGGCCGCGTCGGCCGTCGGATGTGCTCCTCCAGTGCCTCCAGGGCGTCACATCCGACGGCCCGCAACGCCCGGGGCTTGGGTGCCTGCCATGTGGCGGGCCGTGACTGCACGGACGGCAGTTTGACAAGTCGTCCGGGAGGGAACGTACGGAAGGAGGAACATAGCCTTGTCGGATTAAAAGATGGAACGTCTAGAGAGGATTTGGGCGCTCCAAATGCGAGGGGCCTGTTTAGTATTTTTCCAGCATCAAATCACCCAAACCCAACATTACAAAGAAAGAATAGACAAAGCTTTGGGAACATCAAACGTGTTCTTCCTTGTTTTGTGCCCCCTTCTTTTATAACCAAACATCATTGGGAGTAGCAAAAGATTTAATCACGTCGATCAATCACAAGATCAATCACAAGCAGGAGGTTGATTGATTTTGCTATTGTTTATTGTGGTGTTTTACACAAACTTGATGAGTGTTGAGCAAAAGTAGCTTTGCGAGACTGTTGGACCCTAAAAAACAAGATGTGATATATTGCTATTCTGTTTTACACAAACTTTACATTGAAAGAAAATGGGGGAGCACTTGGGAAAGAATACAAAGGTATTGTGGCGAAACTTTGGCTCCCTCTTGTGCTTACTCTCATAGTACAGACGATATTTTTCCATCCACCAGGAGTTGGAGGTGAGCTTTTAGTGAGCTCTTCCTGCGATCAAAATAAGAAAAAAGAGAAAAAAAGAAAAAAAGAAAAAAAAGGGAGAGAGGAGACAAAAGTGTGAACGAAGAAGCAAGGAGCTCTCAGCGCTCGATCTGGATTGTGTGCTCGGCACTGTCTTTCACGGCTTCCTCCATCGAAGAAATGCTTCTGTGGCTCGGACCTTCCATAACTTGTTGTTCTTGAGCTTGAGTTTCAGTAGCCTTGCCTGGTAGATTGTCTTGTTTAGCAGCAGCTTTGTCTGGTAAGTGGTCTACCCCAGCGGTAGTAGTCACTTCGGTGACCTGAGATCCATTACCACTGCCACTAGTTCCGCTACTGCTGCTGCTAGTCGATCCATTCCTGTTGCTTGACTCGCACCCTGTTATAGTCACTGCCGTGTGACCCCTGTCCTGACCGTGAGGATCCACTTGGCCTCCAAGACTTTCCATAGGGACCAGCTTCCCGTGATGCAACGAGCCACGGCAGATCGGGCAAGTTGAGTTGTTTGCAAGCCACTCATCTATGCACTCGACGTGGAAGATGTGGTCACACACTGGAAGTTGCTGCAGCTTTTCGCCGGGCTGGTAGTCTGACAAGCAAACTGCGCACCTAGAGAAAACAAAAAGAAAAGACGAGATGTTAGTGATCAAGAGCTCGTCAAATGCGAATCCAAAGAGAAAAAACATATCAGGTTGAAAATCAAACAATACAAAAACTGGAGAAGAGATGTTAGCGATTGGGTGAGAAAACTTTGAATCAAACATGCGCAGGAGCACAAAAAATGTTGTGGGATTTGGAGACAACCCCCTGTGGAACATGCAGATGGGCTGAACTATGATACCACGAGAACACAGTCTAGGATGGCTGCAAAAGGGGCATCACACGGAAAACCCGTATGAAAAGTTTAGAGCCACGAGAAGAGCAACAGAACCCTGTAGACTCAAGCTCTACCCGCAAAAGCAACATCCACAAGAGACGCAAGCCTTTCATGCACAAAACAGTAAAATTCTCACTCGAGCCACAAAAAAATAAAAATAACAAGATCTAGGAGATTGGAATCACTGGAATCAGAGCTCGCAAGACACCACTGTCAGTCACTAGGAACAGCGCACGCAACTCTATGCAAGGCAGATGGAACAGTGCCGAGGAAAAAAGAAAAAACTCGTGGCAGTAAAGTCAAACCTAGGAGGTGGATTTCAAACGAGATACTTACTGGTTATCTTCCCTGCTGGCCGCAAAGCTCTCGTCAAAAACAATGGTCGGTAGCGTCGCTCGAAAGGACTTGGTTAATCCATGGTCGACTGGCCACTGCAAAACAAACGCCATTCCAATCGAGCTTAGAAAGGCCGAAGGAGAAACCAAGAACTCTTGTCTAGCAAACAAGCAAAAGAACAAAACCAAAAAAAGCAAAGGAAGAATGGAAAAAAGGCCTCGCTCCAATCAATCCAATCCTCTCCTCTCGCATTTCCCTTCCTTACCGCGGAGAAGATCCCTCTCGCGAAGAACTGGGCGCGGAGCTGCGACACGGCCCTGGCGGTCTGGCGCCGCCGCACATAGAGCACGCAAAAGAGCAGCAGCAGCACGAGCGTGAAGATTATCGGCGTCGCGAATGTGAAGGCCTGGTAGAACTTGAGCTGGGGCGCGCAGCTCGGCGTCGTGCAGGGATTCTGATCTGACATAGCCGCCGCTTGCTTGTTCGATCCGAGCTCCTAGCCTACAGACCTGTGAGAGGGATTCGAGATTTTCACTCCAAGAATCGTCGCTGGCTCCTCCTCCTCCTCCCGTGCTCCATCGCGCCAGAGCGCCAGTGATTAGATCTGGGCGCAGCAGTGAACAGCAAGAATGGGACCCGGGCGGCCGCGCCCAAGCGATTCGATCCCCGGACCTCTTTAAGCGGCGGCAAGGAATCGAACCGCCTTCCACGGTGCCCTAGAATAATTCTAGGGTTTATCGTCCTCGATGAAGAGAGGGCGCGCGATCGTCCAAGACGAGGATAGGAGGAGGAAGAAGAAGAAGAACGTGATCCAGAAGGTAAACCCTAGTGATCCAGAAAGCGGCGATCAATCGAAGAACTCGTCTGCGAGAGGATTCTACTGCATTGCGCCTGGCGATCAGCGCTTCGGGCTCCTTGCTACATTCTTGAAGAAGAATCTCAAGAAGAAGGTAAGCTACTCCCTCTCTCTCCAGAGATTTATTTTTTCTCCTCGCTCGCAACGAAGAGGTTTTAACTGTTTTGTTTTTGTGTGTGGAAGATTGTCGTCATCTTCTCAACTTATCGCTCGCTACTGTTCCACAACCAAGTCCTTATCGCGCTGGGTATACCAAACCTCTCCATTCACGAAAAGCTAGACGATGCCAAAGCGCGCAGCACTATCGACCAATTCCGGGATGCCGACAGGGGTTTGCTACTTACCACGGATGCTGTCTTCTACGGTTTGATCATCTCTCCAGTGGTACGTAAATCTCTCCTCTCTTCCTTTTTCTTTTTATTTGCTTTGTTCGTCTGGTTCGATCTAGATGAAACGTAAATGTGTGTGTGTGTGTGTGTGTGTGTGTGTGTGTGTGTGTGTTTTGGACCATTCCTCCACTTTGTTCTTTGTGTTGGAGCAGGCCACTCTTTTAGTTGCTTTCTATGCTGTGTGGCTTCTTTCTCATACTTTTCCTTTTTCTTTTCTCTTTTCGAGAGTGACCGATCTAGAAGCTTATGTTACTTGTCCGATCTCTGCCTGACACCACACCTTTGCTCTCACCTACAGGACTGGATTCTGCAATTTGAGCCTCCGGATGACGTAGAGGTATGCTTTGACGCTTCAAAGAACAAAGAAAAAGTGCATCCTTTCTAAATCTCGAGTGCGATCGCCCATTGCAGAAGTACAAGCAGCGACCGGGACAGCAACAAGGGGGCAATAATAGAGGCCTGCTCTTCCTCCTCCCGCAGGAGATCAGTTTCCTTAAAGTGAGTGATACGATCCACGGAACTTTACTCATGATCGTCCGTGCTTACTTTTCCTCTTGCTCCGCGCTCCATCAGGGTGTCCGGGATAGCGATTCTTTTCTTCAGTGCGAGTTCTCCGATATCAAAACCGGGATTTTTCAGTCGCAGATGGTGCGTGGGGTCCTCTTATCTTGGTAAAAATTCTCTCATATCTTTCGTATTCCCTACAGGAGAAGCTGGTACAGAAGAACTTTCGCATACACCAGCTCTCAACCGAAGGATACAGATCTTACTTCCACGCCTACGCATCAAATCCTCACAAAGCGATCTTCAACGTGAAAAACCTTGATCCACAGGTTGGCCGAAAGAATGTTATTAAAAACTCTAAACTATGGCTTCTATTCCAGGCCTCCTCAGCATCGTTTGGAATTAAAAGACCACCAAAGATTCTTGTTTGATCTTATCAAGAAGAGATGGTGGCCACGTTTTGTTTCATGGAGAGCTGGTACCTGTTTCATGGAGACAGTGGTGGCAAAGTTTTGTTTCATGGAGCGATGGTGCCAAAGTTACGTATCTTGAAGAAAGATGGTACCATAGTTTGTTTTCATGAAAGTTTTGTTTCATGGATAGATGGTACCAACATTTTGTTTCATGGAGAGATGTTTCATGGAGGCAAAGTTTTGTTTCATGGAAGAAGGATGGTGGCAAAGTTTTGTTTCATGGAGATGGTACCAAAGTTGGAGAAAGATGGTACGAAAGTTTTGCAAACATCTAGAACAAAAGGTTTTCAACACTAGCTTGATTGAAATCCTCACTCTTCGATGCAAAACGATTCTTTCTCAGTAATCTTCTCCCCCCTCTTCATCTTCACCGTCGGCAGACTCGGCGCCAACCTCCTCGTAGTCCTTCTCGAGCGCCGCCAGATCCTCGCGGGCCTCGGAGAACTCCCCTTCCTCCATTCCCTCGCCAACGTACCAGTGAACGAAGGCGCGCTTGGCGTACATGAGATCAAACTTGTGGTCGATCCGGGAGAAGACCTCGGCGACGCTGGTGGAGTTGGAGATCATGCACACCGCGCGCTGGACCTTGGCTAGATCTCCGCCGGGAACCACCGTCGGGGGCTGGTAGTTGATGCCGCACTTGAATCCCGTCGGGCACCAGTCCACGAACTGGATGGTCCGCTTGGTCTTGATGGTGGCCACCGCCGCGTTCACGTCCTTGGGCACCACGTCCCCGCGGTACATGAGGCAGCACGCCATGTACTTGCCGTGCCGCGGGTCGCACTTGGCCATCATCGACGCCGGCTCGAAGGCGGTGTTGGTGATCTCGGCCACGGACAGCTGCTCGTGGTACGCCTTCTCGGCGGAGATGACCGGCGCGTAGGACGAGAGCATGAAGTGGATCCTCGGGTACGGGACCAAGTTGGTCTGGAACTCGGTCACGTCCACGTTGAGCGCGCCGTCGAAACGGAGAGAAGCCGTGAGCGATGAGATCACCTGCAGCAATGCCGAGTGTCTATCAATGAGAAGCAAAGAAACGAGTTCTACCATCTTACCTGTGACACGAGCCTGTTCAGATTGGTGTAAGTTGGCCTTTCAATGTCGAGTGACCTCCTACAAATGTCGTAAATGGCCTCGTTGTCAAGGAGGACGGCCACATCAGTGTGCTCCAATAGCGAGTGAGTCGAGAGGACACTGTTGTAGGGCTCCACAACGGATGTTGATACCTGGGGCGATGGGTAGACTGTAAAGCCGAGCTTGGACTTCTTGCCGTAGTCCACGGACAGCCTTTCCAGTAAAAGGGACCCTAGCCCAGACCCCGTACCGCCACCAACGGCATGGAACACGAGAAAGCCTTGCAATCCAGTGCAGTTATCCGCCAGCTTCCTGATGCGATCCAGGCAAAGGTCCACGATCTCTTTCCCAACTGCGAACACAAAACACCCATTTAGCGGAAGAAGTAGTTGATTTGAATGAAAGAAGTATGAATACTTACTCGTGTAGTGACCGCGAGCAAAGTTATTAGCAGCATCCTCCTTGCCGCTGATCAGCTGCTCCGGATGGAAGAGCTGGCGGTAAGTCCCAGTCCTCACCTCGTCGATCACTGTGGGCTCCAAATCCAAGAACACAGCACGAGGAACATGCTTCCCAGCTCCGGTCTCGCTAAAGAACGTGTTGAATGCGTCGTCGCCTCCTCCGACAGTCTTATCGCTGGGCATTTGTCCATCGGGCTGCAAAGAGGAGAGAAAAGGCGTGAAATCGCTGTGGAAACTCTAGAATCCCTACCTGGATGCCGTGCTCGAGACAATACAGCTCCCAACAAGCGTTCCCGACCTGGATCCCGGCCTGGCCGATGTGAATCGAGATGCACTCCCTCATCTTGGATCGACCGAGGAAGAAAGAAGAAGGCGCGGCGCGGCGATGAAACCCTAGAGCGTTTGCAAAGACGCCCTCGTTTCACTCAAGAACAAGAACAAACAAAGCGGGGGTATAGGAAAATGGAGGGAGATTTAAACGCTACCGCCCAAATAGAAAGTTGCCGTTAGGAACGGCGCAACTGGGCGAATCCCAGCCAATCGCGACCGCCGTAGTGGGTTCTTTGGAATGATTTGGGTGACATCCTCGCGCTTTGGAATCGTGGACATCATACAAGGCCCAAAGGACGACGGTGATTAGAGTATATTCACACGAAACTATAAGAAATTATTTACGGGCAGGACCCTCGTACCACAACAAGATTCCCCGCTTGGAAAAATAATAGAGACAGCGCAATGGCCATTGGCCCATGTACGGCAAGAGAGATACGACGCGAATATGCGCAAGCTCCATGGACCGTTGGATCCTCCCTTCCAACAGCCCCGATTGACGCATTCCCATGACAACAAGGCGTATAAAAGCCCTAAGGCGTGCTCTCTCTTGGCAGCCGATCGCTTGTTTCAAATCGGTGGAAGCGCTGCCTAAGTTTCTAGCTCGGGATCGCGGGATGCTGCCGTGAGCTCGCGATGGCGCTTCTGAAGTTCAAGCGCCCGGATCTAGGCGTCACAGGTTTGAAATTCCGATAGGAAATCTCTGTGGCTCACGCTCTCGATCCTGAATTTCCAGTTTCTCCTGTGCAAAACGGTGATTTGGACTGGGAATTGTCCCCGTTTCCCAGGGAGCCTCTAAACTCGCCGTCGTGCTACTTGGCGGAGGAGCATCCCTTGACATGGGCTTCTTCCAAGTGGAATGGAGTTGTGGATTCCAGCAAGCATATTTTTTGCAACAGGTCCTTAAATATGAAGAGCATTGTGGCTGTTGGCTTCGATATGGATTACACTCTCGCACAGTACAAGCCAGATACGTTTGAGGTTCTTGCTTACCAGGGAACGGTCAAAAAGCTGGTCTACAATCTCGGCTATCCCACTGATGTTCGTGCTCTCGTCCCAAAATCTCGTTTTTATATGTTCACTTGTTACTAAATGCTCCAATTTGCAGCTATTGCAATGGACATTCGACTGGAAATATATGATCAGAGGTCTAGTTCTCGATAAAAGGCGAGGCAACGTTCTGAAAGTATGCTTTGGTTTCCCCCAGCTTCCATTTTGTTTATAACTCTTGACAATGCATCCGCAGATGGACCGTCACAAGTACGTCAAGGTTGCCTACCATGGGTTTCGAGAATTACCCCGTGAAGAGAGAATGGCTACTTATGGCAACACACTGTCCCGTGAAGCCTACGACGAACCTGACTATGCGCTTATCGACACCCTCTTCTCCTTGGCGGAAGCATATCTTTTTGCGCAGCTCGTTGAGTACAGAGATAGTTCTCCTAGCAAGCTTCCGGCAAAAGAGTACGACTTGTAATCATTGTCTGCTTCTGTACTTATTCCGTTGTGATCTCCAGCATTCATTCTGAGGATGGCATGTTTGTACCAAGGTAAAGCGAAGTTGTGATCCTTTGAAGAACGCTCATGTATTTTGTTTCCACAGTTATGCCCAGATTTACAAAGATGTACGGTCTGCTGTGGACTTGTGCCACCGTGATGGCACACTTAAGCAAGCTGTTTCTCTTGACCCTGGAAAGTGAGTGCTGTTCTCCCCACTTAACTTTTATTCTGATTCCTTTGAAAAACCTCACAGATATATCCACGAAGATCCGCTGCTGGTCCCAATGTTTAAAATGCTGCGAGACTCTGGCCGCATGACTTTTCTCGTAACAAACAGGTACCTTTACTTTTTTTCTAAGATTGTAGCGAATGTGAGCGCTGTTGCAGCCTCTGGGACTACACACACGTGGTTATGAACTATTTATGTGGAAAGACTGGTAACGAAGGTGTACCTCGAGACGACGAATGGCTTTCCTATTTTGACCTTGTCATTACTGGCAGGTGTGCTAGCTCCATTGTTTTCATTGTTTCTTGTTCTAATGTACTACTACTCCTGCTCAGCGCAAAGCCTGCTTTTTTTGCTGATAGCAATCGAGCCCCTCTTTTCGAGGTTGACATCGAAACTGGGATGCTCCAGAACACAGACAACGGAACGCCTCTCATGCAGGTGTGTGATCCTTGTGTTTTTTGAGAGTAATGATTCTGATTGTCACCTCAGGTTGGCGGTTTGGGAGTTGGCCTGGAAACTCAAAAGAAGAAGAACAGTCAGCACTGCAGAGCTTTTCAAGTACGCTGAATCGGTTTCTTATTTTTTTCTTAATCTGGATGATTTTGGCTTTGTAAAACAGGGAGGAGGAGTTGCGCACCTACATAAACTGCTGGCCATCGAAGCAGGGGCCCAGGTAGCCGCAATCTGTGCTTTAGATTTTTTGTAAAGATACTGATTCATTATTGGCGAATAGGTGCTGTATGTAGGTGACCACATCTACGGAGACATCTTGCGGAGCAAGAAACAACTTGGTAAGATACTCCTCAACGAGTGAATAGTCTTCAATCGCGAAAAACTTATGCAGATTGTAATAGGGTGGAGAACGATGCTTGTCATTCCGGAGCTTGAGAGTGAGCTGGAGCTACTGAAACAGAACCTCAAGCTTCAAAAAGTAAGTCGTGAATTACGGTCACAAGTTTCCATTAAATGCACAAGTCTGCCTCAGGAGTTTCGCAAATTCCGTCGAAAGCGCGAGGAATTAGAAGACCTGCTCCAGCGTGCAAAGTGGAAGCTCAGGTGGGCTCTTATCTGGAAAACCATTCCATAAACGCCAGTAAAACTCTTCTTTCAGGCTAGAACACCAGAATGAAGAAGAGCTCTTAACGAGAGCCAAGTCTTTACAGCAGGACAGGGACTCCATCCGAGATCTTCAGCGCCAAACACACAAAGATCTCCACCAAAAGGTACTCGAAACTTCGCTCCAACTCATCCCTGGCTCAAATTTTCTGTCGTCTCTCCAGTTCCATAGCGTCTGGGGACAGCTCATGAAAACTGGCTATCAAAACTCCCGATTTGCTCACCAGGTTTGGGTTCCATCCAAAGGTTTTCAATCCATCTCCATCGTTTTCGTTCGTTTTTTCCTTGTAGGTGGAACGATTCGCGTGCTTGTACACAAGCCAAGTTACTAATCTCTGCTACTACTCTCCCGACAAAAGCTTTAGAACCACGGAAGACTTCATGCCGCATGAGCTGGAGTTCGCGGAGTTTTAAACCTGTATTAATTAGTATATTAATTACATATTAATCGAAAAAGGTGAAAGTTTAAATCACTGGTTATTATAGCACTGCCAAAGAAAAATAGAGGGAGAGAGTAGCGGGAGTTGCATGGAGATGGCGCGCTCCTCCCATTTTTCACCGATTCTTCGCCGCAGGATCGCGCATTGTCTGGTGGATGGGATCCAGGCTTGGAATTTCGGCGCCCGCCTTGCTCGCCGCGCTGATCCTCTTGTGTGATCGAGGTACGTGATAAGCCCTAGCGACATTTTCCTATTCCTCCCTCTTCTCTTTAGTCCAAGCATTCGATCCTCTCGATCCGGAAGGAAATATCACTCTGAAATGGGATATCATCAGCTGGACATCAGATGGATACCAGGTAGATCGAAGAGATCGAAGATTTTCTTCTCGTTTCTAGACTTACTGTGATCCTCACAGGCTCTAGTATCGATCATAAACTACCAGCGCTATCGCCACATAGAATCGCCGGGATGGACTCTGGGATGGACGTGGCAAGGAGGAGAAGTGATCTGGGGAATGGTTGGAGCTCAGGCAACGTACCAAGGAGATTGCTCCAAGTTCCATGGAACGATTCCGCACTGCTGCCTTCAAAGCCCGACCATTGTGGATTTGCTTCCGGAAGCTCCTGCCAGCATGAAGTCGGCCAACTGCTGTAGGAATGGTGTGCTGAGCTCGCTTCTCCAAGACCCGGAGAATTCAGTGGCGAGCTTTCAGCTCACGGTTGGCCAGTCCAGCAATGCGAGCGACACAACTTCTCCTCCCAAGAGCTTCCTTCTCGGCGCTCCCGGCCCCGGCTACGAGTGCTCTCCTCCCAGGAGAGTGAACGGGAGCTTGTTCTTCACTCCGGATCATCGTCGAGCGACTCAAGCCTTGAGTAAGTGCTTGGAACTGGAGTTTCTTCAGGGAATTCCAGACTGACTTGGTTGTGTGGCAGTGACTTGGAATGTTACCTGTAGGTACTCACAGGCCGTGGCTCAGCGAGCACCATCTTGCTGCGTTTCTTACTCGGCTTTTTACAACGCGACGATCGTTCCTTGCCCGACTTGTGCGTGCCAGTGCTCCTACAACGCGACACAGCCGATCCAAAATGCCCAGCCGATGTGCATGCAAATGTAAGCTTTTGGAACTTTTCTTCCCAGGCCTTGATTGTTCTTATGCTACTCTCAGGAGCTCTGCTTATATGAACTCCCCGGGCTATAGCACGGGCAGGACTAGAGATCCACCGGAGCTTTACTGCTCCACCGATATGTGCCCGGTGAAGATCCACTGGCACGTAAAGACGAACTACTACGACTACTGGCGAGCCAAGCTCACCATCATCAACAGGAGCCTCCGGAAGAACCACACGCAGTGGAACGTCGTCGTCCAGCACCCCAACCTGGACAACCTCACCTCGGCATTCAGCTTCAACTACATGAGCTTGCCGCGAGGACGCACTAGTAAGCTTTCCTTTTTCCCTCTCGCTCCATCGCTCTTGATCAGTAACTTGAGTGGTGATTTCCAGATGACACAGCGATGTTTTGGGGGATCCGCTTCTACAACGACGAACTCCTCACTGCCGGCCCCGTTGGAAACGTCCAGTCGGAGCTCCTCTTCCAAAAGGATCCCAGCTTCACTCTCGACAAAGGCTGGGCATTTCCCCGCAGGGTGTATTTCAATGGCGAAGAATGCGTTTTGCCGCCTCCTCACTCGTATCCTTTTCTTCCCAGCGCGGCCATCCATCGCCAAACTCTCGCTTGGAAAGCTCTCGTCCTCCCAGTTTTGTTAAATATGATAGGAAGGAATATTCTATCTCTTTTTTAAATATCTAGCGAGATTAAATTAGTTTTCGTTCATTAACGTTGCTAGTCTCGAGAGCCTTTCATACAGGTGCCCTGTCGTCTTGTTTCTTGGCAATCCCGTCTTTAGGTCATCTCTTAGTTTGCCTAGGATGTGGAACGAGGTGGTGCTCGCTCGGCTATCTCTCGCCTAGGGCACGGCGATCTCAGCCACGGCGGGGCGCCCAAGCGCCAGCATTCTAGCTGGATCTGGCCTCTCTAGATCAGCTGCCTCTAGGTCTCTCTCCCACTGGAATGCCATCTCCTAGGGCAGCAGCGGCGGATTGTCTCGGCGCGTTGTAGCGAGCGGGAGGGTCGATCGAGCATTCTTCTCCGCCATGGCTGTAAGTAATTTCGTCCAATCCGCGACGGCGGGGCAAATGCCGCTGGATGGATGGATTGAACAGAGTGGTTTTTCGAGTGATTGATTGTTTTTTCTTCTGTGGTAGAAGAAGGACCAGAGTGATGTGCGCCGGCACTTGGACCATTCCTCGCGGAGGCAAAGCAGCACCGAGCGCTCGCCTCTCCACCCGCAAGTAAGAAACCATAGCAGCAGCAATAGAACGTCGACAGGATCTCCTGCATGGGAGAAGAAGAACGAAGGTGGCAATAACTTTGCGCCCTCCACACCCGGGCGGAGTCGAATGAGAGCCAATCCCATGCAGGAAGACCAGGTAAAAATCTCTCTTTTTAATTCTTCCTTCGTGCTCTAGCGAGCCATAGTTATAACTTAGCGTCGTTTCTCAACAGGAGAAGGGACAGGGGCCACCGCTACCAAAATTCGGTGCCTGGGATCCAAAAGATCCCTCCTCGGCCGATGGATTTACCATCATCTTCAACAAAGCCAGAGACGAGAAGCGAGCCGGATCCGGTGGCCGACCGGCGTCCCCCGTGAAGAACGACAACGAGCTGTACAAGAACAATCCGGACCGGTCCTCGTCCAATGTAATGCAAAGCTCTCTTTTCCCTCTTCCCAGCCGCTGATCGTGTTTTGATGCAGAAGAAATGGTATTGCTGCTTCGGAGCCGCGGAGACGTGATCGAAGGAAAACTTCTCTAGGTAGTAACAGGGGTCGACGACGACGACAAACTTTGGTGATTTGATGATGCTTGGCACCATCGTTTTGGCTACAGGACATCAGGTGGTACCTTTGTGATACTGTCTGGTCTGTGTGGCTTCTATGGGCTTTGTATATTCTCGTCGCTAACGAGCTCTATCTTGTGCTCATGCTTTTTTTTACTTTCCTATACTTTTTTTTTACCAGAGGAACGCTTGCTTAGCTCCGCGAGATCTTTTCTAACCGCTTCCAAATGCAAAGATTTGCTCGCAGGGCCAGAGATCAAGCAGAGATTACGAGCACCCAAAGTGAAAAGTACGAGAGATTCTCGGCTGCCGTCCATATCAACACTCTACAACGCCTCCTGCCAAAATGCTTATATCTGGCGCTCGCTACAGAATCTCAACAGGTCTGGAAGAAGGAGGCAAGGATTTTTTTCCTTCTTTTCTCCTGGTTTTCTGTTCACTCTCTAAATAACGTTTGAACTTCCAGCCTCGATCGTACTCCACTCCCCTCGCGGTAAGAGTTTTTTACATCATTGGATCCCTTTTCACTTTTTTTTTTTTCCTAGGCTTGCAGACACATTTATTTTGGGCCAATGAGCGGCTCTGCGCTTTTATCCCGTGGAGATAAGGCTCTCTCTCTCTCTTTCTCCCGCAAAACGATCCAATCAATCCAGCATTTGTGGCACACCAGGAAGGACCTGAGCACTGTGGCACTCGTTTTCACTTCCTGGGGTGGAAATGCAATGCATCGGACAAGCCTGCTCGACCTGCCCGGCTCCACACACTCACACAAGGCACGACGACGCAAAGCCAGCGCTAAAACGCTCCTGGAAAGAAAAGTCTCTGCTCGATCCAACGGAGAAGGCAATGCAAAACGATCAAACAAGGGAATCCACTGGCAGCAACGCTAACGGAGAAGGCAATGCGAGGCGAGCAAACGAGGGACAGCAACGAGGTGGAAAAGAAGACGCAAACACGCCAAGCAAGCAACAAAAACAAGACCAAGTTGACAAGCTTACTCCGCGCTCGTCCAAATGCCAGTGGAAGTTTTGGGAGCTTCTAGCGGAGTGGCCAATGAATTTTTGGACGAAGGAAAAGAAGAAGACGAGACCAATTCAACGAGAAGACCATAAAACCCAGAACCTTTAGAAGGGAGACAAAACGAAAACGAAAACAAAGACAAAAAACGAAAGCAAAGAAGCGACGAGCGAGTTGTGAGTGAATTGATGGTGGTAAAATATTTCAAAGATGCCCACAAGCGGCATATGCTTTCTAGCTTCCTCTTGGAAGATCGAAACCCTCCCCTTTGCTTCTCCTGAGACCAAAGTTCTTCCAAAACAAAAATAAGAATTTGACGCTCTGCTATGATCGATCCTTGAAGCTTGTGGCGTGGACCGGGAATAGATCCAAGAGCTCGGGCTCCCGCTGGAGATGGTGGTGCTGGAACTGTTGGTGGTGCTGGATCTCCTGGAGCTGCTGGTGGTGGTGCTCGTAGACAAACTGTTGATTGGTGGCGGCGACGTGGTGGTGGTGGAGATGGTGAGCGGCGGCCGCGGGGTGGTGGTGGAGGTGGTGAGGATTTCCGAGCTGGAGATGAGTCGCCACCACCGCTTGCGGCTGCTGCTGCTGGGTATGGAGAATCATACCGTGGTGGTGGAATGGGAAGCGCTCGAAAACGCCGCCACCGTTGGCCGCTGGCGACGCCACGATCCCGTTTGGCTGGTGGTGGACCGGCGGCGGCGGGGGTGGCGGTGGCGGTGGAGACTTGAGATCATCGCTGCAATGCAAGCTCCGATCGAAGCTCTGGCGGAGGAGCTCGGTGGGCGTGAGCGGCGGCTGCAAGTGGTGGTGCAGCCGCTGGGGATTGCTCGTCTCGAACGAGGCCTCGGAGGAGAGCGGCGTGACGGGGCTGGGGAGGAGCCCGCCGGCGGCGGCGGCGGCGGTGTGCAGCGCGTCGCTGTAGACGAGCTTGGGCGACACGTCGGACGTGCCGCGCGGCGAGCAGCCGGTGCGCTTGAAGGGCGACCCGCGGTTGATATCCAGGTTGCGCAGGTTGTTCTGCTTGCGCTCGTGCAACCGCGACATGTGGCGCCGCAGCGGCATGCCGCCGGCGGTACCGTGCGGTACCGCTCCCGCTCCCGCCGCCGACGTTGCTACCGCATTGCCCGGCGGATCCGCGGGCTGGGAAGCGATTTGCTGCTGCTGCTGCTGCTGCTGTTGCTGCTGGTGTTGGTGGTGGTTTTTGGATCCGCCGGATTGCCTCGCGGGGACGGTGACGGGCATCTTGTCCTGGGCATCCTCCGCGGCGCCCGTGTGCTTCTGGACGACCTCGCGGAACGTGAGAACGTCCGCCTGGATGAAAGTGGTGGCGGCGAGCTGCTGCTTGATGGCCTCCGCCTCGGCAGCCACCGGCGAGGCGGGCTTCTTCGCGGGCTGACAGGTACCGCCACTGGCAGCGCCGCCACCGTTGGCGGTGCTGGGCTCGGCCTCCGCCACTGCGCCGCCGCCGCTACTCCGCGGGGGACTGCTGCTGCTGCTGCTGCTGCTCGCGCGGCTGCTGAGGCGGCTGGGCGGCGGGCTGTTGAGATCCAGCGCGGCGGCGGAGGACGGTGGTGGCGGAGGTGGTGGCGGAGGAGGAGGATTCACGAGCGTGGAATCGGAGGAGAAGCACTTGTTGTTGGTGGTGGTGGTGATGGTGGCAGTGGTGGTGGTGGTGTTGGAGACGCCACCCATTTTGATCTCCTCCGCATTCCACTGCCACCGATTTCTCTTCCTTCGCTGCTCACCGGAGCAGCATCACTGTCGCAAAGAATTCGTGAGGATGGAGAGCAACGGAAGAACACAAGAACGAAGAGCAGCGATAGATTTTTTAAACCGCCCAAAATCCGATCCCCGAATCCGCCCCGAGAGATCGAGATCGAGATCGAGAGAGAGAGAGAGAGAGAGAGAGAGAGAGGAGACCCACCAAAGCGCTGCGCTGCTAAGCGTGAATGGGCGACAAACGCATTGACGCGGCGGCCATAGCGATAGCTTCTTCGCGTAAGCTATCCTTTCCGTTCTCCTATCAAGGCATTGGCTGGCGCTGTCTTCGTTCACTCTATCTATCTAGGAAGGGGAGAGAGAGTGAGAGAGGAGGGAGAAGACTCTACAGTGTGGAAGCGCTAGCGGGGGCGCGGCGAAGCATTAGCAGAAGATGGAGGAGAGGGGAGAGATTTGCGGGCACGCAATTCGACGACCAAGGAAAGGCATGGGCCTGTCTCTGATCTGCCGAGGGACCTGGCGGAAGCAGCAATGCACCAAACAACAACAACGAGGAAGGGCAAGAACAGGGGAGAGAGCCTGGCGCTGGATCCAGCGGTCAACCCGCTGCCCCTCGATCAAATTTGATCCATCCCGCAAGAGGGTTGCTTATCCTCGATCGCCTCCTCCGAATTCCGCGCTACAGCTGCCAAAATTTGGGCCCAGACACCCAGGATCTCTAGCTCGAGCCCCGCCCTCCTCTCCTCTCCTCTCCTCTCCTCTCCCCTGTTTCCCCTTGTTTATCGATCGCTCGCTCGCTTTCTTTCTCTCCCTCTCTCCCCCTCCCGAGAGATCGAGACAGGGCAGGAGCGAGGTAGGAGGAAGTAACAGTGTACTGTAGGTCTGTGGATTTCTCTTCGTTTTTAGAGTCGTGTGGAGAAGTGGAGCCTCGTGTTTCTAGAGGCCGGTGTCCCTAGCAGAGGCGCGGTGGAAACGCAAGGGCGTGTGGGGGCGGTATTTATTCCCCGCGATTCGAACCCGGCCCCAACGGAAGAAAGATAACGGCCACGGCAGCCCTAGAAACAGAGGCTTTTAAGAACCCTAAAAACCAGGCCACGCCGGAAGCGATCATGAACATCGCCCCCCCGGATTGAATGGGGGGAAAATTTCTCGCGCAAGGGGGGCCGCCACCCGCCAGCCCAATCGCCCCAGATCCGATCCACTCTTCCTTTCACCGCAAGAAACTTTAATGTATAGATATAGATAGCTTATAGTTCTCGCTCACGAACCAAGCATGTGACACGGTAAGTATCAATGTTCTAAATGGCCAAAGTGCACAGGACGAGGAACAATGCCACCTTTGAGTTAGGGCAAAATTCTATTGCACGGCGCATTCGCCGTAGCTTTCCGGCCGTCTGTACTCATGTCGGCGAAGTGTGTTTCCAACAAGGGAAAAAAAAGAGAACAAGAAAAAAAGTGTTTGGAGTGCATGTGATCATTCTTTGCAAAATCAGTATATACGGAAAAAAAAAGAGAATTTCCCCTGTTTGATTTGTCTTCGATCTAGGTAGTGCTCCATGGTCGAATGATCCCCCAATATGGCATCTAAAAGAGCACCTTGGATCAATCTATCACTTCACTATATGCTGGGAGAGGGAATCTTTGCCGTACATAGGATATGCCTTCGCATTTTCCCGCCATTTTGCAAGGGCAAAACTGGAAGCCATTTAACGAAGCCAAGGAGCGTGGACTAGTCATTTAAAGAAGGCTGTGTGACGTTGACCGCCACAGCTGGGGTGGTTCGGGGGAATTCATTCCATCCGGTCAATGGATTCATCAATCCACACGACAGTGTCACACAGTTTTTCTTTGTGTGTGTGTGTCTGTGTTCTTCTAAAGAGCTTCTAAAGTGTGCCGCCATGCTTGCCCTTGTTTCGCCCGTGATTCTTCTTCTAATGGAAGCCATTCAATCAATCAATCAATCAATCAAGGCTCCAGAATGGACGGGCATGGCTTTGCGGAATTCTGGGCTGGAAAGATGATAAAGCGAAGGGATTGTTGTCATTGTCTATGGATTGCTTGCTTTCTTGGTGTGGCGGTGAGATGGTGGTGGTAGTGGTGATGGTGGCGGCTATGGTGGTGTTTTAAGATCTAAGATAGAAGCCACTCTTTTGTGGTCAAAGAGCCACACCGGTATTATTTGCGAGAGCGACAACAAGCCTTCCCCTTTGTGGATTGAAAATCTGGAGAGATTTGTGTGATCTCGCTTGATCTCTCTAGAAATTCCTCCTCTATCCTCATACTTTCCAAATCTCCCCGATCAACTTCCATGATCAAGGAAAAATAAGAAGAAAAAAAATCTAAACAACCAGAAGGATGGAGACAATATGGATGTGGGCCAAAGCGATGCTCCCAAGTTCGCATAGAGTATTTATGTTTTGCCGGAGCTCATGGAACACTGGAGGTGGAATATTGAATGGATATGCCAGGGAGACCTTGATGGAGGGCACATGGCGTTGACGCCGACAGACAATGGTGGGGTTTGGGTTTCGACTCGCTTCCCCGCCAGAAAGATCTAGGGCCTGAGCCGGCAGGAATCGAGCAGGGGATCGATCGGCTCGCTGCTTTGCAGCAGCGCGTGGCCCAAAAGCCAGACAATCACGAGCAAGAGGGAAGAAATGGGATTTTGGGCTCACAAGTGGAGCAAACACTTTAGACCCTTCCATATATTCTCACACAAGAGAGAGAGAGAGAGAGAGAGAAAAGGGGATCTTTGGAAAAGAAGAAAAAGAAATTAAAAAAATTGTTCTCCACCACCTTTGTAAGTTATCTCTTTCTTCCGCCACCTTTGTAAATTTGTTCCGAGATAGATAGATAGATAGATGTCCTTACAATCACCACAGCGCCCGTTTGGGCATGGGACCGGCTCCGAAGAGCCATGCATATTTGATTTCAAAGCATGAACACGAAACAAAATACGAATGAATGCGAGGAGGCGGCGGTGGCCCATAATGTGGATTACGAGGATTGTGACAAGGATCACATATAGAAACAGTAATGGAATCACATTCATCATACCTTCACCTACCACCACCCAGAAACTCTTAAAAGAAAAACAGAGATTGTTTGACCATAGGTTGGTTTCACTTCGGGCCGCCAACTTTTTTTCCGGGAGGGACGCAAAGACGACTATTTGGCCGCTTTGACTCGGCCATTCCATAATATCGTCGCTTTGCTAGTAAAGGTAACTCGAGGAATTCAATGGAAAGGTAGGTTGGGGAAAGAATTGTTTGCCTGAAATCCTTTTGGCTTTTGTAAATTTGGGAGGCAGAGGAAGAAGAAAGAGCCAAGCAAAAGGCTGTCTCGTAGTTGAATTGGAGGGAGTGCACATTTTTCTCCCCTCGCTGTGGATTGACGCGGACTTTGCAGCTTTCAGGTTTATATCGTAAATCGTCCCCAAAGCGACAAAACGATGAGCAGGGCCTTGCTTTGCTGCCTCTGACTCGCTGAGCTGCATACCTGTTTTCATTGGTCCCCGGGCAGCAGCAGCAAAGAGGGCGAGAACAAAGAAAAAAAAGAGAAAGACAGAGACTTAAATCTCTAATTTGGAGTAACAGGTAGGAATCAGTTTTTACAAGGCCCGTGAAACATGAGACCGAAGGGTTCCAAGTCCGTTGTCCTGAGTTTTGGTCATTCGCTGTGTGAGACTCTTCGTCCGCACTTCAAACGATGAAATGAACGTATAGTAATGAAAACAAGCTTGGATCTGGAGAGCACTGGCTTGGAGAGAAAAGATTCCACGATTTCTCCAAGGGAACAGGATGGGGATGTCAGCCTCGTAATGCCACAACTGGATGATGCCAACAACCGCTTGTTTGTTGCCTTGAAATCGCATTTTTGACGAAGACTATGCCCCCAAGAGCGACAATGAAAGAAAAGGCGCAGAAAAAGGCTCCTCCACTTCTTCCTGCTGCAGCTGCGAGTTTGGTGACAGACAAACAATGTGTGTGATTTGTGTTGGTCCCTCTCCTCTCCACCAACCTTTTGGATACTTGTGCTTGTTTCTCACTCCTTTCTACAGTTCTTTTAGGAGCAAGAGTTGTAGAGTTGGGAAGGATAGAACGAACACTCCCATCCCTTTCTGCATGCTTTTGCAGGTCATGAATGAACGAGAGAGAGAGAGAGAGAGAGAGAGAGAGAGTTATTTTCTTATTTTATATGAAGTGTTTACAATCCCAACTAAGGAACAAAGGACCCTATTCTTAGATACATGCAATGCATTTTACTTCTGATGTTGAGAGCTGATACTCTGGGACTTCTGGAAACTCCCAGCTGTGATGTTGAGCTTGAAGATCAAGTCCATCATCTCTTTTATTATGTTCTTTATTTGCTCTTTGCCGGCTTGCCACTTTTTTTCTATTAAGAACATATAAGAAAATACTTGAAGGAATCGCTCTTTTTCCTGGAAAACCCTCAAAACTGTAGCACCAGAGGTTATATATGAAAGAATTTTCTTTAGAATTTTCTTTCACCCATTCTTCATCAAGCCTGCTGCTGCCTCAATTTCTTCTATAGTTTTTGCCTGCCCATCAAAGAAACCGTGTCCAATGCAGCAAACTGGCTAAACAAATCTTACCTGGAGACGATGAAGCAAGTACATCAAGCAGAAGTGAACAAACACCTGCAACAAAACTGTCAGCCCGACAGCGCCGAAACAAGATGTTTGATCTTACCAAGTAGCACACTACAAAAAGCCTTGCAAGGGGTCGACGCCACAAGTATCGACCAGCAGTGACAGCTCCAGAGTCAAGGAACTTAGCAGCTGCCTGAAATCAACGCAAAGAAAAGAGAAAATCTGAAACCAGGTCGGCACTAGAGACGAACCTGAATGCTCGGTCCAACAAAACGCTGTAAACTTGGTACCATCCGACGTTGGTGAAGGCCCAAAGTCCTGGGGAAACACCATTTGCTCAAAGGGCCAAAAAAGAAAACAAAGAAAACGTACTCAAAAGATTTCAATTCGTTGTCATCGTCAACTCCGATCGAAGAGAATTGACGTCTGCTTCTTTCCACCTCGGCCTGCAAATACAGGTGCTATCAGTAAGAATCGCATCCGGCCGCATCTTACGTTCGCGTCTCTGAATTTCTTCGACTCCTTCTCCAACTGAAATTGCATGGCTGCCTTCTCGGAAGACACTTTCTCGAGTTGTGCCTGCTTCAAAAACTGAAACAAACAAGTTGCAACGCAAAAAGAACATTTACTTCGGCCATACCAAAAGCTCCATCACTTCCTTGTACTGCTTCTGCAGCTCGATATGTGCCTGTAAGCCAGAGTCCATGAGAAACTTCAGAAATATGACAGGGACATATGTTTCAACACCAAGCTGCATTTTCACACACCACATGACTTACAAAATCTGCACCTGAGTTGAGCTGACATCAAAGTCCTGCTTAGCACTGGCAAGGTCCACTCGCAGCTTTTGACACTCCGCCTGAAACAGAAAAGGCACCTGTCAACATCTTGCCAAGTCCTTGCAGTAGCTCACCTCCAAAATGGATAGTTTGGTTTCTGCTTCTCTTTGAGCAACTCTTGCACGCTCCGCCTCTTCTCTCCAGGCCTGCAGGATCGGGGAGTGTTACGGCATACGTTTCCAGACTGGCTATGAACTCATTTACGCTTTGACTAAATTCTTCAGATGGCTTCTTTTGTTCTCGTCGCGCTCGCAATTCCATTTTCTGTAGCTCTTGATTCAGAGTAGCACATTCCACCTGCAATGCAATGTCAAAACAGATGTCAAAATTGAATTTGCTTACTTCAAGCATCGCTGCCTTCTGCTCAAGCTCAAATGCTTTTTGAGATCTTTCATCCACTATTCTCTGCGCATAACTGTGAGTATCTGAAATCAACATAGATATACACCTGCATTCTGGTAACTGCGGTTGTTGATTCTGCCATTTGCTGCTCAAGCTCTGCCTCCCTCTGGACTGCAGCCTATCGAGGAAAATACATGTCGGCGAAACAAAAAACGAAAACCGGAACAAACCATTCGACTGGCACTATGAGCAACGCGTTCTTCCTCTACCCTCCGCTCCGCCGAGGCAAGATCGAGACGAAGAGTCTGTTCAAAACGTATCTAGTAGTCCACGGAAATAGGAAGACACCCACCTGTATCATTCTTGTTTCAGTTATTTCCCGGTTCTTCATTATGGACTCCATTCCTGCCTGAATAACACGATATAAAGCACGCTAGATTTGATATAGGATGACAAACCTGAACCAGCGCCAGTTTTTCTTCGGCGGCCTGAGCTTGCCGATTGGCAGTCTCCAAGCTGATTGAGAGTGCTTCAATCTCTGAATTTTTTGAAGCCAAAGCAGCCGCCATTTCTGATTCCGCCGCATTTGTCCCTGACCTTGCAAGAGCTAGCTCTCCTTGAAGTAGATTTAAGGTAGCGCTAATAGAACTTTTCGCTTCTTTCTACAGAATGATTGTCAGTCGTATTCTCATCTAGACAACTTAGTTACCTCTAGCCGAAGTAATTCCTCCAGCTGAGCATTTTCAGACTTGAGTTCCTGAAGCCTTGTCGAAAGTCCAGCGCACACCTACAAAGAAAAAACTTCAAAATTTAGACGAGAAAAAGACAAAGCCACCTTCGCGAGACGAGCTTCTTTTGATTTTCCGGATGTGGCAGAAGATTGCAACAGCCGGTTAGCCTGCAAGAATGGTATTCAAACTCGCTCCTCATCTAAAATGCATATGAATCTCACCTCTTCCACCTGAGAATCAAGCGTTCCAAACTTGCCTTCGTTGGTGTTCGGCTGTTCTTTCTCTTTTGTTGATTCCGCAATAGTCGACAGATTCACACTAACAGTCCCATTCTCCGTCGTCATATCACAGTTGACACGCTCGTCACTGCTCGAGACGGTTGTTTCATCGGCTGCTCCACTTGACTTCCGAGGCTCAGCAACAAAACCATCTCTCGCCGAGTAAAAACCATTCTCGACTCCTCCATCACCCTTCACTAGTGCCTCTGCCAAGCCGGAGCTTGTTTTCTGGAATAACACGGACAAGCGCAAAAGAAAAACAAACTCAAAACTTCCAATGCCAAGAATTTAAGTACCTCTCTCAAATGTGTGGAAGTAAGAGCCTTTCGTTGCCCCCCATCGGACACTAAGCAAACAAGGACCGAGAAGTTACCATCTAAAACATGAGCCCAGACTCACCTGTAACCGGTACCGCTTGCTTGGCAGTGCGATCCACGACCTCTAGAAGCTCTGACGATAGTTTGTTTTGGAGAGTGAGGCCGCAATGCAGCTGACAGATAGACAAAGAATTTACCTTCCGCTGCACGCAGCCAGGAAGCCATGACGATCGCGGATCTAGCCCAGGCGCCTCAATTGGAAATCAAAACCCTCGTGAACCCTAATTTGCATACTAATAGCACTAATGTAATTACTAATTGATAACAGAACCAATTTTATTGATATTGTTGCATGCTTAACAAATTGGTTTTGACTGGACATCAGAGATCTTAAGCCATACGTGGGATTAAGTTGCAAAGGTCATTCTTTTGGTGGGATTGCAGACATTGGACCTCAGTAAAATATGAAGAGTGGAATTCCTAAATTTGTAATGATATAGCCATTACTATGAGTAGCTTAAAGGAGAGTGGCTTTATGATTTGATTATTTAACTTTAATTTATTAATGCATAATAAAAAAAAATAGATCAAATATAAGTATTAAAAAACAACTTGATTTATATTTTTTCTACTACATATTTTTTTAAAAAAGTTCATTCAAAAAGTGTAGAGAAACATAAAACATGACAAAAGGAAAAGCTTTTGCAATAACAATAAAATTCATCTTGTGAGTGCATAGGGAATACAGAAATGTGCATATTAATTAACCCAAAAACCCTAACTTATATACAGGAGCGAGTGGTCCGGATTGAAACTAATCCGACGACTACCAAAATCCTACTACGCTAATATTAGTATACGGCATCATAGCCATACACTTGGCCCTCACATCATCCCCTCCTCTCGGAATAATGAAAGACCATCAAGGTTCTCTTGTAGATGGGCCGGGATCTGGAGGAACATTAAGAGGAGGCATCGGCGGATTTGTATATGGTATTAACCGCTCCTGATCCCTTTGTATGAATTGTTTCAACCGCTACACATGCACAATCTCTGGAGGATCGGCTTGCTAGACGTCATGCCGAACTTCATAAACTTGTGGTCCAACTTGTTGTAACACCTGATACGGTCTTTTCCACTGTGCAAGGAGCTTCTTAGATAAACCACGTACCGTAAGATGGGGAAAACGGACTAACACCAAATCATCCACTTTATACTCCACAGGTGGACGATGATGGGAGTTGTAGCGCCGTTGTTGTCCCACTTGTACGCGGCCTAAGTGTTCGGCAGACTCCGCTCGGACAAGTGGAAGAATGCTTGTCAAATATTGATCCCAGGACCTAGCATTTGCAGCTCGCGGCAATCGCGAAGGTAAACCCAACTCTGTTGGTAATATTGGATCATGACTATATAGGAGTTTATATAGTGAAGCATCAACAGAACTCTGCACCCTAGTGACATATGCATACTGAAGAGATGGCAAATAACCATCCTAATCCGAATGCTAAAAGTTCACATACTTCGCAATCATCCCCTTGAACGTCCGAACGAGCCGTTCCACCAGACCGTCTGATTGTGGATGATAAGCACTTGTGAAAGTGTGGCGAATCCCCAACCGAGAGGTCAAAACATGAAATGCCTCAGCCATAAATGCGGGACCATTATCCGAAAGAATCCACTCTGGACAAGAATGCTGGAACACCACTCGATTGAGGAGGAAGTATCCAACAGCAGTTGCAGAGGCGTTAACAAGAGCACCAACTTCCACCCAACAAGTCAAATAGTCAGAAGCAATAATAACGTACTCATTGCCAGCAGTCGACTGTGGAAAAGGTCCCATAAGATCAAACACCACCAACTCAAACGGATGGGAAACTGCAATTGACTCCAACCGTCCTTCTGCAGCCCGAGGGGGAGTATTACGAGCTTGGCACCAAACGCAGCTACGCACATACCGGATACTATCACGTCGCATCTCCGGCCAATAGAAGACTTGCGTAGCTTCTCAATTACACGACGATGTCCCATATACCCACCTAGAACAGGAGAATCATGGTAGGCATGGAGAAACCGCGGAATAAATATAGAAAGCACCACCAGCCGTAAATGATCATCAGGATCTGTCCCCACAAAATAAAGAAGGCCATCTTCAAGACAATATTGAGAATGTAAATGCCAGAAAGGCAAGTCATCAGCAAGTGATACAGGGTTCTCAAACCCATCTCGAAGCCTTCGAATCCATGGCTCAATCTTTTGAGCCTTACGAACCTCATCAAGCGAAGGTAGATCTTGCTCTGCACCTTGTGGACACTGAACATCAAGTACAGCAACCGCCGACGGCACAGAATCCTTGTCTAGAAAATCCACAGATGCTGGAACGACAGGGTCGTCAGAAACATGAGAAGAGAGTGAAGACGGAAGAGGAGCTCGAGAAAGAGCATCAGCCTCAGCCATAGAACTCCCTGGGCGGTGAACAACATCAAAATCATATATCTGAAGCTTTAAAGCCCACCGAGTAGTACGACCAACCAGGTTCTTCCACTTTAATAATGAAGTAATAGCAGCATGGTCACCTTCAAGTAACGTCTGAGAACCATGTAGATATGCATGAAGTTTCTCGAAACCCCAGACTGCTGCTAAACACTCCTTCTCTGTCGTGGAGTAGTTCATCTCCGCTGGTTGAAATGTACGACTTATATATGCAATGGGATGGCGCTGACCAGGCACACTCGAGCTCTCTTGCATTAACACACCTCCAATACCAATGTCAGAAGCATCCACGCGCAAAATAAAAGGTTGAGTGTAGTCAAGATATGCCAAAACCGGAGGAGTTGTCAATAACTCTTTGAGATCCTCGAATGCCCGCTCACAATCCGGAGACCAAATGAAAGACGACGTTGATGATTTCAGCAACGCTCGCAATGATGCAGTGCGATCAGAAAGATGATCCACAAAATGCCCGAGATACTGCACCTTGCCCAAGAAGCCCTGCACATCATTCACACACTTCGGAGTAGGGAACTTTAGAATAGCCACAAGTTTGTCAAGATCAACTTGCAAACCCTCATGAGAAATACGGTACCCAAGATAAGTTGTGTCCTTGGATCCAAACACGCACTTCGACCGCTTCAGCTTTAAACCAACGTCGCGTAGCCGATCCAACACTTTACAAACATCACGAACGTGCTCCTCCCATGTCCCCTCCGAGTGGATCAAGACATCATCAATGAAGTCAGCAGTCACTTCTGGCATATCGCAAAAAACCTCATCCATCATCTGTTGAAAAGTTGCTGGAGCATTGTTCAAACCAAATGGCATCACCAAGACCTCATACAAACCAAATGGTGTACGAAAAGCAGTCTTAGGAATATCTTCTTCGGCCATTGGTACTTGCCAGTACCCAGAAGCAAGATCTAGCTTGGTGAACCAACGACTTCGCCCGAGACGATCCAAGAGATCAGCAGTGTGAGGAAAAGGGTACACATCTGGAATCGTTACATCGTTTAACGGACGATAGTCGATGCAGAAACGAATACTCCCATCAGGCTTTGTCACAAGATGAGGTTCACATGCCCAAGGACTCTGCGACTTTCGAATAACACCCTTCTCCAACATCTCCTTGACATTTGCACGTAAAATTTTGATATCCTTTGGTGACCGACGACGAACAGGAACCTTGATTGGACGAGCATCCCCAGTTGGAATCGGATGACGTGTGGCAATCTTGGCTCCAGACGATAGGTCAAAGTCAAAGAGATCAGAATACTCCTTCATGAGCCGGTCAACGACTGCAACACAAAGATCGTCAGAGGGATCGGAAAAGGGAAGAGCAAAACAAGATGGAAAGACAGGAGGAAAGAGTGGGGAAACAAAAGTAATGGAAGCAGAGGTAGAAATAGAGGGATGAAGAGGTACGGAAGTGAGAGGAATAGATGAAACATAAGGAAGTATAAGACAAGGGGAGAAGCCTCAAAGTCACACTTGGCATAATTGCGCTGCAACCAATCCATACCAAGAATGAGGTCAAAAGCTTGACTCGGCACCACCCGCAACGACTGCAACTCAAGCTCGAGATCGCCCACACGCACAACCAGATCTGCCTCATCCCGTGCACATGCATGTGTACGGCCGTTGCCATAAAGAATGAAAACTGGTTCCGCCGCACGACGCAAGTGTAGACGACAACGTGTGGCAACAAGTCGAGCAATAGAAGATAAACTCGAACCTGTATCCACCAACACGGAGAGAATAATAGGAGACCTCTTGTTATAAAGACGAGCTTGGAAAGTAAACACTGGATGAACTGGTGCCGAGTGAACCCCTTGATGATACTCCCGAAAGAAAGATGGAGGGGTCACTGACTTATTCGCGCAAGGTCCCTCCATTACTCGTGTGACTCCTCGTTTCCCGGATGCATCTCGGTGTCCAAACCTTCCATTGCAACAGCACCAACGGGACGTTGCTGACGCCAAGGTCTCCACCTAGGAAATGGAGGTCGCCAATCCGGAAAACGCAGACAACCCCGATAAGTATGACCAACTTCATCACATGCCCAACAGCGAATATCATGGCCATGACCACGTCCTCGCCCTTGACCTTGGACTCGAGCAGCGGCAGCATCAACCTCCATTGGAACATGACCATCACCCACAGGAAGTGGAGCTGAAGGACGTGTAGCGAGAAGTGGAAGAGGCGACATCTCATAACGTTGTGCCAAGCGAAGAGTATCGTCAAGGGTGGTGGGAGCAAGTGCATGCACAAGTCCGACAAGATCTTGACGAAGTGCTGGCCACAACATTCTGTGAGACACAAAATCCCTAGGCCCCAAAGTGGAGCCAGAAAGGATGCCACGTGGTAGTGGCTAAAGCGAGAGCCAAACGAGCGTAACACGTTTGGACCAGAAGCTCCGACTTGAAAAGTCAAGAGTGGGAGTGGAACTCCCAACGAAGTGCTCAAGGAACGAGCACGAAGCGAGCAAAAAGCGAGGCTCCAAAAAGGGACCCAAAAGGACCAACACATGACACGTGGAAGTGTCTGAGATGGACTCGAGTTGGAGTCCGAAGTGGAGTCCGAGATGGACTCGAGTTGGAGTCCGAAGTGGAGTCCGAGATGGACCCGAGTTGGAGTCCGAAGTGGAGTCCGAGATGGAGTCCGAGGTGGACCCGAGATGGACCCGAAATGGAGTCCGAGGTGGACCCGAGATGGACCCGAAATGGAGTCCGAGATGGACCCGAAATGGAGTCCGAGGTGGACCCGAGATGGACCCGAAATGGAGTC